ATGATTCCATTTAGCCAGATGTTGGAACCATTAGAGTTAGCATGAATTGTACTGCGATTGCCTTCTGGTTATTGTTCTTGTTCTTGTTCTTATTTATCTTGATAGTCGGTGCATAATTTGGGCGTTTTATTCATCCACTCCTGGTTCCATTTTTCAAGAGAAGTTCTATTGGATGAGATTCAGTGTACACCCATATATGCATGTGTACATGGATACATATTTTAATCTTGAGGATCAAGAATATCACCAAGTACATATGCATTAAGCCAAATCAGAGACTGAAGTGATCTGAAGAAATGATAGGGAGCAGGTTGAGGCTATGAATGCTACACTTCAAAAGTGATTATCCACATCTCTATCTGAGTGGTTGATCGAGGCATGAAGAGAGGATGCAAAAATGGTGTGCACATGGTATTTATAAATCTTGAGAAAGCACTTGATGTGGTCCCTAGAGAAGTTCTTGTAATAATTGGCCTATTCTCTTAGAATTCCTTTGTTAGCAAACTATGGCAGACGCCACTGATTGGGTAGTCAATAATCTAAATAACCTAGATTACCTTCTTTTGGTATTTTGGTTTTCTTTTAATTTCAAGTGTGTGTTTTGCCATTAAATATTAGTTACAGATCATACTGTTCGCTTTCTCATGTCTTTATCCTCCATGCAGGTTCTTAACTCTCAAACAGGATTGAGTGTTGGGACACCGGGACAATACGCTCCCGCAATTGCTGGAGGGCAGCCATGGTCAAGAGGCACGGCCCCGCAGCCAGTGCCACTTGGGACTGGTCTTGACATCCATGGATATGATGATGAAGAAATGATAAAGCTCCAAGCCGAAAGGGGAGGCAGAGCGGGAGGGTGGAGCATAGAGCTAAGCAAGAAAAGGGCTATTGAAGAAGCATCTGGAAGCGGTTGGATATGATTCACTTAGTTCTGGCACTGTTCTTGTTTGTGGGCGGTAGCATTCTAAGATAGTTCTTAAGAGAGGAAGCCAGAATTGCAATTATTATGATTGATCTGACTAAGGAGTGTTTGCAATGATCCGCATGAAGATCATGTCTTTTGTGCTCTTGCATGGAGAGCATTCGGAGCAGCGGCATCCTTGCTTGCGGTTCACTGGCAATTTTAATGCGACATTGAAGGTGTAAAATTGTTACCTCCTCCAATACGATCATACTTGGGATAGTACCTCCTCCAATACGATCATACTTGGGATAGTAATGGGAGCTCTCTTTGGAGGAACCAGCATAGGCATATATGGAGCTAACATATGCTTTGCCTGCAGGAAGGAGAATAGATAAAGAGTTCTAATTTTGGGGAGTTACATCGTAGAAGAGACTGTAAACTTAACGCTTCCATAATGGAAAATGATTACTTAACATTTTAAAAGAAAACGCAGTAGCTTAGCATTTGAAAGAAAGGATGTCAATATGCTAGTACACAAATACATGCATATGGCAAAGGCCCTAACTGTTGACAAAAGGGGACTGTATGAAAATGTGGTAGCTGCCATAGATATCACCTAATACTTGTCTACTAATCACTTTTCTTTGCATCAGTTGCCATTCCATTTTTTCGTGATAGTACAATTTGTTCCTCCAATTATGAAGATGGTACTCTTCACCTGTGTTCTACACAAGAATCATGACCCTTTCGCCCAATTTACAATTCTGCAAAACTTTGATATGAAAATAACTGTGACATATAACTGCATATTACATAAAGTGCGTATTCATAGAGGAAGCCCCCAAACACCAGACAGATATTCTTCAACCCTGCAAGTCTCATCTCAGTTTTCTCATATATTAGCTCCCACATTCTTTTGTTCGCAAGATTGGTTCCTAAAGGAGTACCACGGTTAACAATTTCAACATGCAAGTCTCAGGCAAAGTTTAGCTGCACATAATCTGAAAAATCAATGTTTGGAATATTCCAAAGTGGCCCATCATCCCAATTGTCCGACTCATTTACATTTTCTGGCGGAATGTACATGAAGAGGTGAAGATGCTTTCTCTGTATAAAATTTCTTTTATGGCTGATATCATTTCGTCTTCATGGATAATAAAATATGGATTTGGTCCATTCACATTAACTGAACCAATCACGAGATAAATGGGCAAAAGGCCATCAGATCATAGCACGGCACCAATTATCTATTTGGTGTATCCAGTAGTGCATTGCATAGCTCATGCTCAAAGAGGATTTTCAGCTTACATTAACATCCAGCTTTTCAAGAATTAAGGGATCACATTCTATAACACCGTATCTCTTCGAAATCTTCTTCCTACAAGAAAGTTTTTAATAGGTTAAGCAAAAATTGCTCATAAGAATAAGCAAGGTACATTATAATCGAATAACAGGAGCTGTAAAAGATCACGGAGCCAATAAAAAGAACATAATAGACTCAGTATTAGAAAAGTTCAGATACAAGTGAAAACGTTACATTCTGATAAGCCTATGGTCATCATGACTAAACATTAGTCGACTACATAGCCCGTAGTAGTGCATCAACAAAACAAATCTGCATGATCCTGAGAAGCAAAAATTAAACGGAGAAGCCAAAGGAGACAGGATTATGACCTATGAATCTACTGAAACATTTACATCTGTAGGTCATGGCGATAACGAAGCACATATCTCAACAGAAAGAAAAAAGGAAATAGAGAGGATTTTGTCGAAACTGGAATTAAGCTATGACCAAACTTCTATTCTTTCTTTTTTGAGTATAGCTACCAACTTAATTTTCTAGGAAGTCAAACAAAGATAAATTGCTAGAACAGAATTTGATAGCTATCAACTAATAAAATGGATCTTTGAACCTGCAAAAAAAAGGAATTCTTCTCTTTCTACCTATAAATGGAGCATCAACTCATAACATGAGATCATTTCACGTGAAGCCACAGAAAGAAGAAAGAGTACTACCCAGGATCCTTCTTAACCATTTTTAGTTTGTGCCTGAATGCTGGTCGAACATCAGGTGGACCTTCCACTAATTGCTTAACTGGAGGTTGGACAAAAGCTGTTTCAGTTAATAATTCTATCAAACGAGTTCCCAGCTGCACATATATAAAGTCAAAAGGTCAAAGACTTGGCAGGTTCGGCGCCAGCTTCCGGTCCCTCATCTCCCTCTCCAGCTCCCTGTACTCCTCCACCATCTTCTCCCACGCCTCCGTCTCCGCCCTAATCTGCCGCCTCCTCAGCGAATCATACTTCCTCCTGTCCATCTCCTTCAGCTCCAGCTCCGCCTCCCGCCTCGCCTTCCGGTACACGTTCTTGAGGAATATCGGGTATATCCTGGGCGGGTCCTGGATGAATATCCTCGGGCGGGATTCCTGGTCGGCGACCTGCTCGACCGGTCCCGAGAAGTCGTCGGCGGCGGGGGAGCTTGTGGAGGACCTCGAGGTAGCCGTCGTGCAAGGTGTCCCTCGGCGGGTGGAGGTGGGTCGGAGACGGAGGGGGCTTGAGGTTGAGCGAGGACGGGAATGGGAATGGGAAAGGGAAGGAGTGAGAGGTGTTGAAGAGGGAGATGGAGGGCTGGTTGGAGAGGCAATGGAGGGTTTGGCGAGCTCGGACAATCCGATCCTATGTCCGGGATCACGATTAGCCGGTTTTTTCTGTTATCAAATTTGAATAGATTGCACAGAGTTTCATATACTTAATGTGATTTGATTGATGTGGATGATGTCTGATTTTGGTTTGATTGCCATGCATGTTTATCTATATTATAGATAGCATTAGGATAAATACTTTTCCTAAATTCGAAAATACCAAAAAAGATTTAAAGTGGTAGTTTAGGATAAAGTTAGGTTTTAAATTTTTCTGATAAGATAGAATAGTTCTTGATAGGATTCTAGTTTAAACTTGCCTAATAGATAGAATAGGATAATTCTAGTTAGAATTTGCATCTTAGGATATTATCCATACTATAGATAATTAATCCTCATTAATTTTTAATTTCGAATTTTAGTAAAAAAAATACCAAAAACATGTTCTTAAGATAGGCTTTAGTCTTTGGGCCCGTTTGGTTCAACTTTATAAATGCTACTTGGGGAAATGCAAATACCTTTAGGTTAAAGTCTATTGGGGAAATGCAAATGGTATTTGGTAAAAAATCATTTGTAAAGTTATTTTGGCCCAAGTAGTGTTTGATAAATTTTTTTTTTGTAAAAGGGCTTTGGAAATTATCTTTTTTTAAATAAAAAAAACCAACCCTACCTTTCGCCGGAGCTAGCCTACAGACGCCGGCGAGCTAGATCTAGCACAGGCGGCCGTCGCCCGAGGTCGGGCGACCCCCGACGAGCCAGATCTATGAGAGATGGGTTATTTGAAGTATTATTTTCGCCTTTCACTTTCCCACCACAATGAGTAACTGCATAAGGGTCTTCCCGATAGGAGTTTGTGGACAGAGGTCATTGTTAACTTTTCTCCATATTCTGGTTAGCTGGACTTTTCTTTGGCTAAGCTAATTGGATAGAGTGGATCATCAGTACTGTCGCATGACTGGGGGTATTGATCAAAAGGCAAAAAGTAGTTAATGAATCTCCTGCTAGAACAAAAAAAAAGTAATTTTGGCTTTTTAAAAATTAAAAAAATTTACATGACGTCAACTGGCTTTGGATGTCCATAGTCAATCTCCTTTTGAAGATTTCGGGTGTTCTCCCGAATATTAAAACCAAGAGTGCAATTAAATGGATAAGTCACCCCAAACACACGGTGAGGAAGGATAACATATGTGTACTAGTGAAAGATTCTTTGAGGCGGATTAGATCTGTTTTGGGGTGATGCCAACAGTTAATCAGCTATAGTTACCGCGACATGGAACCTAAATTTCTGAAGATTTGTGGAAATTGATCAAGTAGTAAGCTGTAACTTCTCCTGAAATAATGTTTGCCTCCAGCATCATTGAGCTGCTGATAGTGTGTTATGTTTTCTTAGAAAAGCTTGAATGGACTTTATCTTTGTTTAGTGTCTTCTAATTATGTCTGTACCGGCACTTTCCAGCGCATCAATGGCATGGCACAAATCAAGCTAGCTAAATATGGAAGCGTTGACATGGATTTTGTTTTGGGAGTGGGAGGTTATGATCTGGACAGGTGCTTTTTCTGAGGGAAAATTGTCAAAAAAGTCCTAAACCTATTGCGTTTTTATCAAATCAGTGCTAAACCTTTCAACTTTGTCAATTGAGTCCTAAACTTTTTCACTTCTTGCCAATTCAGTCCTAAACCTTTGCACTTCTTGCCAATTGAGTACATTTAGTCGATCAGCGCTGACGTGGCCGGCTGTCCAGACAACGCTGACGTGGCAATTTTCAAATATTTTTTAATATTTTTTTTCTGGCTTTTCTTTTCCCTCTGGTCGGTCTAGCCACTAGCGACCGACAGACCTCGCCGGCCTCTAGCGAAGCTCGCCCCCGCCGGCCACTAGCGAGGGCGAGCCTCGCCCGCCGCTGCGAGGCCGGCCTTGCCAGATCTAGGCAAGGTTGAGCCTCGCCCAGCGATGGTGAGGTCGACCTCGCCATTGCGGGGTGTCGCGACGGCGAGGCCGAACTCACCGTCACAACACCCAGCGACAGCGAGCGAGGCTCGCCCTCTCTAGTGGCCAGCAGGGGCGAGCTTCTCCAAAGGCCGGCGAGGTCGAGAGGCCGGCGAGGTCGACCTCGCCGGCCCGTGCCTCTGACCGGTCGCCAGTGGCCGAACCGGCCAAAGGGAAAAGAAAAGCCATAAAATAATAATAATAATAAATTTTATTAAAATATTAAAAAATTAGAAAAAAATATTAAAAATTTGTAACGTCAGCGTTGCCCGGACGGCCGGCTGCCACGTCCGCGCCGACCGGCTAAATGGACTCAATTGGCAAGAAGTGCAAAGATTTAGGACTGAATTGGCAAGAAGTGAAAAGGTTTAGGACTCAATTGGCAAAGTTGAAAGGTTTAGGACTGATTTGGCAAAAACGCAATAGGTTTAGGACTTTTTTGATAATTTTCCCTTTTTCTACAATATAGGAAACAGTATATATTTGACTGGTTATAAATTAAATGGAAGTTTTGCAGCACAGCATGGTGTCATGTTCTAACCTGTCAGTTGCCTCTGCAGAATCGGTTCTGAAGTTCATGGAGATGGCTCATCCTGTAATGCTCATCAACATGGGCATGGTAACGTGTACAAAATTTCTTTTGCTTTCGTCTTATCGTATTGCCATTAGTTCTATGTAGTTTTGTTACCTGTGATGACTGAATTTCCCAGCATGTGTAGGTAATGCAGAAGAGCACAAAGGGCATCGGTATTGTTTCTGAGGGTAAACTGGATCTCGATGAGGTAATAATTCCGTTAGCTGTTTTAGATCTTGGTGTTCTAATTGCGGTCACCCATGGGGGTTGTGTGCTATCTTTTGGTTCAACTAGTTCCCCGGTAGAAAGATGTACCAATTGGGTATTAGTTTGTTCACCCTGGAGGCTTTTAATTATGGAAAATTGAATGATATGGTGGGCCCAGGAACTGTTTGCAGAAGTCTCGTGTTTGTGCATGTAAATAGTCGTCTGAGACCCTCTCTTCCTCCTCTTTCATTTAAGTGTGGTGCATGTATGAGTCTACGGGAAATTTATGCATGCACTGTTGCATCTTCTTGTATTCTATTTGTGATATTGCTCCCGTCAAGGAGTAACAATATAAGTGACACGAGTTTCACTATAAGATATGAAGCCATGATTTTGTTTAGGCATTCACTATAATAAATGAAGCCATGATTTTGTTTAGGCATTCACTTTGAGAGTCTATGGACTGCCCCTGTGCTTCTTGTAACTGCGGGTGCCATGAGGTAGTGCGGTCTGGTCAGCCCATCTGTTACGGTACAGAGGGCCATAGCTTCATATTCTGTCACCATGATCTGATGGGCCAACATGCCAGTCCAGCCCATCGTCATTCGGCAGTGTTAAGCAACCAGTGGCTGCGGTAGGCTTACTAGTTCCATTAAGAACGCACGATGATATTGGTTTTTGACGAGTTTTCTTGACATGTACTAAGGATTTTTTTTTTTGCATGACTGCTATTGATATCCGTGTTCACTAGTATAGCCCCTGTGCTATACTTTTAAAATTCCTTGGCAGATCAATTCTAGTGCGGTCGTCAAACGTAGCAAAAGCAGAGAACTGAAGGAGAAACATTGTAAGGAGACAAAGGAGACAATTGTTTTGAAAGTGTTTACTTTGGGGTTGGGTATAAATTTAAGTTTATACTTCAGCTCTTCCTCATCTATGTTGTCTATGTCTCCCATTTGTGCCCTTTTACTATCTATGAAGACAATGAAGAGTTTCGGAGGACTAATGAGCATCTCACTTACACTATTTCTAGGTGACTTGAATGAACATTGGCAACTTGGCTAACTTGGCTTATGCAAGCACTTTTACACTTGATCATTTGTCGTTCAAATAAAGTGTGGGCTTACCCGTAAAGCTAAGAATGTACTTTACATCTAATGGTTGGTGCTTAAATATGTGAAAAATTCAAATAATGACAGTGGTCTTAAAAAGGTTGATAAGGCATGTTTCCTTACCTATGCTTGAGATAGAACCTTAATACTCTTGGTTTGTGACAAGGCCTTGGAATCTGCATAAGTCTCGATATTTTTCACTAGGCTAGTAATGTGCATGGGAATTTGTGTCCCATATGTTGTTTGCATTCTAGCACTTGCAGTTTGCTTTTGCTCAACTCTGATGATATCTATTTAAGCATGTCTCTCATATGCAATGTCAATGGAATAGGTTGATGATTGGTTAGAGAGACTGAATGAAGAAAAGGGGGTGGACTTGTACAGAATGAAGGGTGTACTGTCTGTGACTGGTTATGAGCAACGATATGTATTCCAGGTTCCACTACTTGTGTTTACGAACTTCTTTCTAGCCATTTTGGTTTAAATCCTCGACTTATTTTATTTCAAAAAACTGCCTCTTCCTTTCAGGGGGTCCAATCAACATTGGATGGCTGTCCGGGAAAAGTATGGGGTCCTGATGAGAAGAGAATAAACAAGCTTGTCTTTATTGGGAGGAACCTCGATGAAACTGCCCTACAAAAAGGCTTTAAGGGGTGTCTTGTATGACCCGACCAATCAAAATAGAACGAATGAAAGTGTCGGGTATGTTGATATATGTTAGAGACGGATTAACTATGACATGATGCCGATAAGTAGGGAAGGACTAAGGAGGGCTTCCTAACAAATGCATAGGGGAACACTCTCGGGATGATAGACCGGGAATACGTGAACTGTTGCTTCTCTGTAACTGAAATATTCTCAAATGACTGGGAGTTGTATTATGAAAAAAAAAAAGATTGCCTATTGGCAATACCTGAAATTTTAAGTCGAGTTCTGAGAAATGATCAAGCATGTTCTTCTTGTGAATCCTCGTGTGCCTGAGTTATCGTACTTTCCCTAATTACAAAAGGCAGCTTTGGAATAACCCAGAAAACCTTTAGCTAGGATCATTGTAGGAATACTCTGAGCTGGTCTTTGTTTTCTCCCGAGAATGAAAAGAACACGATCACTGATAGAAAATCTCGGCTTAAACCATATTTTAATCACACAAAAATGATAGATCGTGATAGAGAGCTCAAGATTTTTTTATTTTGATAGCAAGAGTGAACTCTGATTGGTTCAAATGCTTCTTAGTACGATAATGCATAAATCTTCAGGTATTCATGCATGCGGGTATATTGAACTTCATGATAAAGCTGGGAAGCTTCTTCTCCATCTTCTGCAATTTCAAAGTTTGTCAAACAGCCTTCATAGGATATGCGGGGGAAAATTACCAAAAAAGTCCTAAACCTTTTGCAATTGTACCAATTCAGTCCTAAATCTTTTTTTTTTTGCCATTTCAGTCCTAAACCTTTTATAATTGTGTCAATTCAGTCAATCCGGCCACTTTTGACCAGCCGGCGTTGGGCGAGGGCAACCCTCGCCGGCGTTGGGCGAGGGCGGCCTCCGCCTGAGGCCGGCGACCTCCGCCGGCCCCAGCTATGGCCGGCGAAGGGGAGGGAAGAGAAGAAAAAAAAAACAGAGAGGAAATGTACTGTTCCGGTTGCCGGAACAGTACTGTGCTAGCCGGCCGGCGAGATTTGACCGGCCGGCGAACCCAGGCACTTACCTGAGACGAATTGAGCACTTCGAGCCCCTATTTGACACCATGTTCACTTTGGGTCCTATTTTGAGAAAATGACCCCACTTGGGGTCCTTAATTGGAATTTTCCCTCTATTATATTAAAAATTCAGCAAATTAAAAAATTTTAAGTTCGTTGCCAAATTTTGTTAGAAATTCAGCAAATTAAAAAATTTTAAGTTCGTCGCAAAAATTTTGTGGCAAAATTTGGCGACGAATTTTTATGTTCGTCTCTAATGTTACGACGAATTCAGCAAAAAAGAGAAGTTGTTGACTCACAGGTGTGAGCGTGGCAATGGCAGCTTTCTTCGACTAAGAGGTCGGGGAGTTCTTTCATCTTTCATATTTCAACTAGCAGCTAATCTTGGCTTGAGATCTTAATTCATCTTTCTAGGGGTTGATATCACTTGTTATAAGATGGAAGTCTATCTTAACTAGATCAATTATTCGATCCAATGATATTGTAGCGTATTTCCCATCTCTATCGAGATACAAGTGGGCTATTTCTTTGCAAGAATTGTGCTCAATTTCAAATGGGGCAATGCCGCCAAGATCTCATCATTAGTTGGGTTGGAGGCTGGGGTTGATCTGTGTAAGAGCAGGGTTCATAAAGTGAGACCAATGAAAAGAATAAATAGGATTTGTTTTGACTTAAAACGAATAAATCCTTATATATTTGATTTCTATATATGAGATGCCAAGAACTAATTTACGTCAAAATGCTCATTTGGTCTTGATTCTTATAGTGTGAAAAAAGGGTCATTTCCCATTCACGCTACAAGACTGTCCCGCTCACAAATCCGGCAGTATCCCAAATTTCCCAATCAACATAGGCAGCTTAATCTGTCGTTAGATCACCCAATCATTATACTTTCTTCTCAATCTCTTACCCGCAATGACCTCACTGCTTACGTGGGATGAAAGAACCTGTCCTACCATCAATCCATATTCTAAATCCACAATTATACGCACATATACGATCTTTATTACATTACTGTACAGTTCATGAGCAATAAGGATGAGATTTGAGCTTTATTCCTACCGATTTGCACTTTCTTGATAGTCTTATTATTCTCCTTTACTTTGTTTGTCTATCTGTATCATGTATAAGAAAGATAACAAAAAGAAATACTACAAGAAATACCTCCATAATGTTGTTTTCTATTGTGTTTTTTTGCTTTTCTTATTTTAACATATATATTTATATTTATAGTAAAACGCTTTGCAGTGCAAATCTCTTACGTAAAGCAATATCCTAAAAATAGTTCCGAGATGTTGCAGTTGCAAGGGCGTCCGTCAAATAACTTTTTGGAAGCCAATATATCATCGTACTTCACAGTCATAATCGTCGCAAAGACATTACATTAAACCTATATGGCCGTGCTTACCATATCAATGCCGAACTAATCGATTCATTGGATTGGAATTCTTCAAACCTCGAATTAATAAATCTTCACGCCATGAGGTGAGCATTTTCTTTTTGTTTCTGGAACTAAACAAGGAGAACTTGTTCTGAGTTTGAAAATGATTATTGATCATGTTAACAAGTGGCCTCAAGGAGAATAGCACCGATCACACATAGGTCGCCTTGAGAAGTAGGAAATAATGTCTCGAGTTATATATTTCTCGGGCCCCTCTTCCATGTCTAAACAATTATTTAATTTAATATGCTATGATTAAGATGTGCAGTGTGAACAGCATAGGAAGTCCAAAACCAAACTGAATATGCCTTTGCCAACGACAAGTTCCGATGTGGATGTGAGGTTTTCAGTGTGTTCGCATCCGCAAGATTGACATAGACTGTACGTGTGGACACAAATCCTTCTGCCCCTTGTAGCCACTTTACATTCTCTAGACACAGGACAAATCATTCGATGCAACGCCGATAACTGCTTATCCTGCCGACTTAGTATTACCCTTCTAATCACATCTCTTCGGGTTTCACACGAAAGAATTCGACTGAATGGGTGATGCCCCGTTAGTAGGACGCGCGGGATCACCGATGTATGAGATACTTTGTTCTATATTAGCAAAAGCACCGCGAATAACATATTTTCTCGATCCAATTATCTTTGACAATACCAATAGTTTGGTAACACCTTGTTACGTATGTTCCTCCAAACTCAAGAGAAAGTAATATTTATCTCTGGTCAACATGATTTTAGGTGAGAAAATTGATAAAAGCATCTAAATCAGCCTGTGCACAGGCAGGGAATCCACCTTGAAACATGCCACTAACCTTTGCAGCTCTTTCCTTCACCTCTTCATCACTCATGAGCTTATCAATTCCCTTCACTATCTCCTCCTTCTTGACCATCACCAAGTCATCATCTGATACCCTGTACCCCACCTTCAGATGGTGCGCCACAAGCTTGGCATTGTAGAACTGGTCTCCCCTGATGGGCCATGCCAAAAACGGGACACCGCGGCCCAGGGCTTCCACCGTCGAGTTCCACCCGCAGTGCGATAAGAATCCGCCCGTCGACGGATGGCTCAGTATCAGGAGCTGCGGTGCCCATCCGGTTATTATCAAGGCCCGTTCGCGCGCTTTGGCCTCCAGCCCGTTAGGGTAGTACCCTTCTTCGGACCCGCCGGAGCCCGGTTGGATGGCCCATACGAACGGCCACGTGGACTCTTCCAGCGCTTTGGCCAGCGTGTCGTATTCGTCCGTCGTCAACCCCACGGAGCTGCCGAAGGACACGTAGATCACGGAGCCGCGCGGTTTCGAGTCCAGCCATCGGATGATGTCCTCCTCGGTCACGTTGCTTTGCTTGTTAGGTCGGATCTCGCGATCTCGGACAAGAGAACCAGATGACGTCCAGTATTGATCAGGGAGGAGCGGACCCACGCCCCAAACGGGTTTGCCGACTTGATTGGCTAGGTAATCGAGGAATGGACCTTCGAGATCGTGACAAGTGTTGATCACCAACGCGGTAGAGCTCTCGGTGGGATCCACCCAGTATGGCTTTTCGCCGGGCATCCTCGGCGGTCCACCCGGACCCGAAGGCCGAGAAGAACCCAGCCCCGAGTCCGAACCCGCTCCATGCCCCTGCTGCTGGCCCCACTTCCGCAATCTAGCCACACTAATCCGCCTTTTAAGATCCGAAACCGTGAGCCCCATTTCTTCGGGTAACCCAGGAAGCAAACGGGTCTCCCCGAGCCCGATGTCCAGTGGGCTACCCTTCCAGGCCGCGAGATCCATCGCGGCGGAGCAACCTCCGAAGGTGAAAAATCCGACCGTCCGAACTCCAAACTTGCCGAACACTTCAGCCGCCCAGCCCAATATGAAGAGAACATCAATGATGGCGCAGATGGGCCGGGTCGAGCTCCCCGACCGGGCCGTGAGGAGCTCCTCGAGGAAGCCGGCAAGCTGGGCCTTGCTACGTTCCATCTGCTGGTGAATCCCGTCGCTGCCGGGACGCGGCGGATGGGCCGGGACGACGAGGACGTCCGTGAGAGGGTGGTCGCGGAAGGAGGAGGGGACAGAGGAAGAGAGATAGGAGAAGACGACGAGGGTGGCCTTGTAGTTTTGGGAGGCGACGAGCTTGCACAGCTCGATGCAGGGGAAGAGATGGCCTTGCCCGAAAGACGAGAGGACCCAAATCTCACCTCCGGCCATTGATTTTCCGGTGGGGGGTGTCTCTGTTATCGCTTGTGCTATGCGAAAGATAGAAAATTTGAACACCCTATATACAAGAGAAGCTGTTGACTCACAGGTGTGAGCGTGGCAATGGCAGGAGCTTTCTTCGACTAGGAGGTCGGGGAGTTCTTTACTTTTATCAAGGCTAATACATCGAATGAATGGAGATGAGAACGTAATCGCTTACGCTTGCTTAGGTAGTGATTATGCTTCTTTGGATAGGTTATATTTGGAGGAGATGTCGCAAGGTTAGTTGACTTGATTATATGTAACTATCACTTTATTATTATTTTTTAAGGATAAGTGCACTAAAAATCTCAAAATTAGTCATGAAAGTGCGATCGAGTCTTAAAATTTTCAAAAAGTACAATCAACGAAAAGATTTGATTGGACTAATTTAATAAATTTTAGGACTTAATTGCACTTTTTGAAAATTTTAGTACTCAATTATACTTTCGTGACAAGTTGTGAGACTTTCAATATACTTATCTTTTATTTTCTTTTTTGTTACTAACTTATTCAAGATGTCATTTTCAACCGAGGCTCGTAAAAAGGTTATATTCAAATCAAAATCATCGAGTGAAATAGGGAAAAGAAATTCAAGTTATATGGAAGGCGCAATGTAAGTAAAGGCGCAGATTCTCTACAGTGACGAGTGTATACAACTGGTGATACATTGTTCTGATCGTGAAATTACAAGCCCAACATAACATAATTCCCCTTCACTCCTCAAATGGACTAGGGGAAGCGCGCGGCTGCTCACGACGACGCCGCCGTCTTGCTGATGATGAAGTCCTTCAACGCGTCCAAAGCGGCCACCGAGCTGGCCGGGAAGCCGTGCTCGAACACGGCCCGGATGCGCGCGGCTCTCTCCCGCGCGCCCTCGTCGGACATCAGCCTCTCGATCCCCTTGGCTATGTCGTCCCTCGCGAAGTTCTTCGACATGTCCTCGGACACCACGTGCCCGATCTTGAGATGGTCCACCACGAGCTTGGAGTTGTAGTACTGGTCGCCCCTGATGGGCCACGTCAGGAACGGGACGCCGCGCCCGATTGCCTCGACCGTCGAGTTCCACCCGCAGTGCGACAGGAACCCGCCCGTCGACGGGTGGCTGAGTATCAGCAGCTGCGGGGCCCACCCGCGCACAATCAGGCCCCGCTCTCCAACCTTCTTGTCCAGCCCGTGAGGGAAGTAGCCCTCGTCCTCGTCCTCGTCCGAGCCGGGCGACCCGCCCAGGAACGTCTTGGGCGGGCCCCGACGCCCCGCCCCGTATTGGATCGCCCATATGAAAGGCCGGGTCGACTCCTCCAGCGCGGCCGCCAGCTCCGGGTACTCCTCCGCCGTGGGCCCCACCTCGGACCCGAACGCGACGTACAGTACCGAGCCGTGCGGCTTGGAGTCCAGCCACTGGATGACCTCGTCCTCGGTCACGGTGGACGGCCGGTTCGACCGGATCTCCCGGTCGTGCAGGAGCGAGCCGGCCAACTTCCAGTACTGCTCCGGCAGCAGCGGCCCGACGCCCCAGACCGGCTTGCTGACCTGGCCGGCGAGGTAGCCGAGGAATAGGCCCTCGAGTTCGGCGCACGTGTGGAACAGCATCGCGATCCAGCCGCCGGACTCCTCGACCCACGGTGGCTGCTGGCCCGGTCCGGGCGGGCCCATGAACTTCGGACCCGGGACACCCATCGGGCGGGGGGGTCCGGATCCCCGATTCGGAGGCCCTCTGCCGCCTCTGCCGCCGCCGCCGCCGCGGAGGTGCGGCGGGCCGTGGGGCCGGCGCTTGAAGTCTGACGCCGTGAGCGCCAAGTCTTCGGGGAGGCCCGGGAGCTGGCGGGTCTCGCCCGGCTTGAGATCCTCGACCTTGGCCTTCCAGACCGCGACCTCCATCGCCGACGAGCACGCGCCGGAGGTGAAGAACCCGACCGTCGGGATCCGGTGCTTGGCGAAGATCTCGCCGCTCCACCCCATCATGACGTCGAGGACCGCGCAGGCGGGCCGGGCCGCGCTGGGATCGCCGGGCCGGGGCGCGAGCATGTCCTCGAGCCCCTGAGCCAGCTGGGCGTGGTGAGCCCGGTGAGCCTCCATGGGATCGGATCCCGGCTCGGCCGGAGGGGGCGGCGAGGAGGGTATCTCGGCGATCCGGAGGAGGGGGTGGTGGCCGCGGAGGGAGGAGGGGATGGAGGAGGAGAGGTTGGAGGAGATGACGAGGGTGGCCTTCAGGTTGCGGGCGGCGAGGTGCTTGCAGAGCTCCGTGCAAGGGAGGAGGTGGCCCTGGCCGAAGAAGGGCACTACCAGGATCTCAGGCGGCGGCGACGGCGACGATGACGACATGTCTGCAGATCTTCCCTCGGACTTGGGTAGGTTCTTGATCTTGGTCTTCTTGCGGTTTCAGTGCGCAAGATGTGGTCTTTACAGAAGGAAGAAGTAAGAAGAAGGGCGGAGAGAGATAGACTTAACGGGAAAGGAAGGGACTTTGAGGGTCCCGTCATGGAAGAGTTTGACCGTTTGTTGCGTCTTGTTGTGTTAGGTAGGTTGTGTTGTTGACAAAAGATGAGGAAGTATGCATTCGTTCCTTTCATCCACATCAAAGGGAGAGTCAAACATGCAGGACACAGCATCCATGCGACGCGTCAACGTGCCTTCTCTCGGTTGTTCGACACGCAAATGACTCGCATGTATTGAAGAGGACGTCCGTCGACATTCAACTCGCGTTTGGACTTCTCGTTACAGTAACTGTACCTTAAACTTGCACAGCAAGGAAAACAGCAGGGGAATCACCCGATTCACCCTCCTCCAAACATTTGCTCTGCAAATCTGAATCGCTTTCATGTGAGACTAAGCTGAAGGGTTCAGTTTGATGGGTGATGAATACTTGCGTTTGTGCTTCCTCCTGTACCAATGTGTGAAGAGGGTTTTGCCTTTTTCCTTCTTCTTTTTTACCGAATGCGAAGTGAATTTTACCTGTGAAGGGAGTAAAATTCTATCCTGTTCATATGGATCCACGCTCATCACCCTTTACATAGGGAATACAATTGGATTGTTCCAAGTATACTGCACAGTGAACAAAGAAGATCTGTCTTACATTTACAAACTCTGCTCAACACACAATTAGCATGTTCGGACTCGGGATCAAGCGTTCAAGCATCGGTAATATCTGTTACATACAATGTGCTGAGTGTTCAAGATGAGGGCAGAATGTTCAAGGCAACTTCCTTGAGTGAGGGCATCGCTTCCTGCTGGTGCAAAGTCATGTACCGGTTTCCGACTCTTCTGAGAACCTTCCATGGGCCAGGATAGCATCTACATGACATTACAAAAGAGAAGGAAAAGAAAAGAGAGAAATACTGCCGTTAGGGCCATGAGATGGAACTTTTTCATAAAAAAGGAAAATTCTTAATGAATAGATCGGCATTCACAAACCTGAAGAGTGTTCCTCCTTTCGTTCCTTTAAAGTTGTGAATGTAGTACACAGTCTCCATTTTTGGGAAAAGGGTCTTTGTAAGGGCTGCCAGCTTCGGATAGAAAAATGCAGGATAGTCTTGCTACTGTTAAGGATAAAATCCGGGAGGGCACAAGGGCGAAACTTCCATAACATACGGGCCATAGTGAAAAGTTCGCTCTCTGTTCATATGATAGCAGAAGAGATAGCACCTTCCTTAAGAAGGTCCAAAGAACGCCAGATAAACACATTAATCTCCGGTAATGGTTGGGACACATTTAAGTATTTGTAACCAATGGTCTAGTCATCGGCTCTAAAGCTAGATCAGTAACTACACGATAACTGTTCAACTCAGTAACTAAATGACACTGTTCAAGAAACCGAAACCAAAACCAAAAAGGTGGTCATGAATTCAGCAAATATAGTTGTCCAAATGGACGCTGTGAGTGGATCGAACATCTGTAAGTCGTGTGATTTGAAAAGGTAGAAGAAATGCAAAAAACAAGCTGGCAAAAGGATACATCCAGACCTTATGCGGTCAAGTTCTCCATTGAATATAATAAGCTTTCTGGCTGTGTTCACGACAGCTTCTCTGTAAAGCTCTTCCACGACAAGCATTTCTGAATTGGACAATAATCTCCTGACATAGAACTTACTTACGCCAATATCAACAAGAAGACAGGATATGTGGAGCTACCATTGACGTTAAAATAGGGATAGGCGACGAGAAATAGCTCGTCTTCTGGTCTCACGCGGTCTGTCATTTTCACTTTCTCAGTAAAGCCGAAATCTTCAAAAAAGGACGGTTTTGTTAGGTAGTCCAACTTGAATGAAGCTCCTTCGAAAGCTGATTTTCTTGCGAATTTGACTTCATTGGCCTCAGGAAAAAACTGAAAGTTGAAATGGCACTTGGAAGTCAATAGACTCTTTAAGAGCAGGATGAGAGTAAGAGACATATGGCATAGAGCAAGAATCCTATTTGAAGATCAATGACCCTGTTTTGATTGCATCACTGTATTTCCTTGTATATATGTCTTTCATGTTGACCCATCCTTCACCAACATAAGCTCCAAAGCAAACTAAATCAACAATCGAAGAAAGGAAGTTGTTATCTCCCTATATGAATGTTATAGGAGTATAAATACATACTCACAATTCTGGTTCGTGTAACCTTCTCAGAATCAACCAACTGGTCGCAAAATTCACGAATCAACTGCATGCTTCCTGTCATCTCTATTCCTCCTTCACCATCACCTGACATAATCTCATAGAGTGAAACCATAGTCAATGAAACATTGATCATATAGTGTTCAAGGACGCTCAGCCAAACAGAAAAGGCATTTTCTGCTCGTTTAGTATTCGTACCCATGCACGAGAGAGAGAGAGAGAGAGAGAGAGAGAGTCATCACCCTTAAACCACAGAGGATATTCTCTTTGAAAATTTTCACCTCCTAAATGCTTAATACCCATTATGAGTGATATTAACAAGTCATTACATGCTAGGTAGTGCATAACAAAGAAAAGAACTGCCTTCGGTGGCAGAGACTTCAATTAGAAAGAGCAGTTTTCAACAAATAAACACGCACAAACACAAAGATACGAGTGAAGGGGAACTCAAGGCTGAGGTGCTAACCCGGAACAGAATCTAGTCCTGAGGTTGGAAATTCAATCTCCTACAATCAAAATCCATTTACGCTCAACTCAGGTTTACAGCTTCTCTTTCCTGCTTCTAGCCATAACAGAAGAAAATGACAAAGGAAACACACCATTAACTGTCTGTTGTCGCTGACGGCCAACTCAGTCGCCCTTTTAGCCTGTCAATTGATAAGAAAAGAAATTATGTCACTGGTATTCTTTAAAAAGATGTGGAGATATATTGCTGTAGCCGCTAAACACTGGCCATCAGGCCCCGCGTGCACACACACAGTTGAACATTTGTTGTGAAGTTTGCTCTTCAACAAATGTTCCACAGACAAGAAAAATCACATCTTCAACCATCCAAAGGAAGATCAAAACATACATTCTTCAAAAGCATGCAGAGTGAAACGATGTTGGTTGAAACGATGCTAGCACATATTCCAAACACTTGCAAAGATAAAGGGACTTCTAAAACACACTGTATAAAAGAGCAGAATTCAAAAGGAATACATCATAACATATACACTTCATTGCTAGTTACCGAAAAAAATACATAGATCGACACAATTTCAGTAACATGCTTACTTGTTCAAGCAATTCATCATAGTCCCTCGGAAACGGCACATCTACCTCAACAGAGGAACGACTTTCACCGGATATTGAACACCTCAAAGGTCTGAAATCCCTTCTAACAATCTTACTGTTCTTTCTCCACGACTTCAAGCACCTAACCAGCTACATCCCCATGGAAATTATTAACCAATAAACACCAGAAGCGCAGGACATTAAAAAGGCAGACACTTTTGGAAGCAGACATGTTGGACAGCTACAGAGCTCTTCTCCAAGACATGTAAACCTAGAAAGTTGGAACTTCCCAGACATAACTCGTTTTTGCTGATTCGGTAGGAAAAAATGGTGATTCAAACACTGAACAACCCACCAAAGCGGGTTCTATGAGCTTCATAGTAGAGAAATTTCAATCAGAACTTGGTTGCTGAAGTAAGACCTTCGGATAATTCTAGTATTGTTCAAACGTTTGGCCCTTAATGGTTCCAAAATTAATGATCTACAACAATTTCTATCGCCCATAAACATTGGCCCATTTGGGTCTTTATGCAATTATTCAGCAAGGATCAGGAGTCTGCAAATGGGAATCACCCTCTTCCTCAGAAGAAGACTCCCCAAGAATTTATTCAAAAACCAGACGCGCAATGCATCAACTGTGCCAAAGGATCAAGAACCGAAGCTGTTTCCTATGAATTGCAATCAGAGACATAACTACAAACGAAAAAATCTGGTTCACTCCATGATCACCGAGTCTCTCACCTCTCTATCTGAAACATGAGATTTTTGGAGCGGAAAGAGCGATGCAACTCCAGCTCCAGGAGCACTGGATAACGGCATTTTCCGACCTCTCCTCCTGGACTCTCAGGACACAGCGAAACGAGAGGACGTACGTTTGACGAGAGAGAAGTCAGCCCATCGAAGCCAAAGCGACATGGATGAACCAAGAACGTGTGTCTGAAATTTCATCCGGAAATGTGACAACAGGACCACCTGGGCCCAGCATGGAGGAAGTGGTCGTGAGGCTTATTAATAAGTAGTCCAGGCGAACGTCATGAAGTTGGTCATTTCAATACCGGATATGAAGATAAGAATTGAATTTCGTTATACAAATCATAAAGATATACTTAGGAAAATAAGGGTATGTGCATAAATAAGCAATTTCAAGATACAATAAGGTAATTATTGTTCATACATATTAATATCAGGTTTCTTCCGACCGATCGCAAACAAATTTAACGAATTTATACGTCGAAATATCCTATTTATGACGCTTATGTTATTTGAAACAACGTGATCTTTATCATCTAAATACGTATTGAATCCAAAGAAACATGTATTAAAATTTGAAGTGGGTAATTTGATTTCTAGAAGAGACATGACAAATCACTTTATTATATCAGAGTTATGTGATTTTACATTTTGCTTTCATGAGAAAGAATGCAAGTATCGTAAATCAACATGATTATTGTATGATCGATGAATAGTTCTGACGCAGCAGATGACAGTGAATTCCCGGCTACAAATAGCGCCGCATGTACTCTTCGACCGTGACATATTTTATGTCCAGATAGAGCTCGGATGCTTCAACGCCATCTTCTCCGATCTCGAAATTCGTGAGGCATCCCTCGTAGCACACATGGTAGTAATGCGTCAACCCGACTTGTTCCGCGTAGTTTTGCTCTTCATTTAGAAGATAAACACCCATTAATGAGTCGATCATAGTACATCTACATGCACATGCGTTTGCTATGTACAAAAAAAAAATATGCAGAGTGCAAGGAAAGCTTTCCACAAGCTGCTTGTAGCAAGACTAGACCTCCTGTGAAGTTAACTTTACCTTTCATTGAAGCCAGAAAATCTTGAGCTGAGATGGAAGACTTCTGCAGATCTTTCCCAATGAGTTTCTCCCAGATCCCGACAACTTCGAGCTGAGACAGGATGTTCTTAGGTGGCCTGAGATACACAGTCTTGTTGAGAGTCCGAGGGTCGTCTATGCTTTTCATGGTGTACATGGCGATGTCGTCTTCGTCAACGTATATTGCTGCGCCATACGGTCGACACACGTACATTGATCATAAACCTTTAGCAGAAAATAGTGAACTAACTTTTCTTTACCAGTGTAACCTTGAAACTAAATTGGAGTGTCAAAAATAAGCAATTGCAGAGACCCGAAAACTATACAATAAGGGTTAACATTGCAGTGAAATAGGCAACTTTTGCGACAGATTGATACCTTTTTTGTCACCATCTCCTAACAACACCACAGAGTCTGTAGATGGGAGGATCTTCCCCGGTTGGCATAGACCGCCGAGGAAGTAGCCAGCGAAGCAATTCGCTGAAACGTACGTGTGCGGAATCCCGGCGTCCTCGATCGCTCTTCTCACCACCATTTTGTCGTCGAATGTCACCCTTCCAGGTTCCATTGCATTGTCCATTGTCGCGGGATCAGTTCCGAATTCAGATGGCAAGAACCTCTGCAAGATTTTTCCGAGTATGAGATCGTATGCCTTCTTCATCGAATGTGATGTATACTCGTCGAACTACAGGAGGTTTCTGTTTTGGAGTTTTGGTGGACTTGTTCAGTTCATCAAAGTATATATGCATTGGCTGCACCGGGGTCTCGATCACCTTTAATTTGTGCATTTGACATCCCATAGGAAGACTTTCGTCCAATGATTTTGATCAAAGATTCACTGCTAAATTCAATTGATTACTTAAAAGGGCTAAGAATAATTTCACTTCTCGTACTGATCTTTTCCTAATTTCTTCCTCAGAGTTATTATTTACACATAGTCACGACCTTTATAACCTACTTGTTCTAAGTAAGAATCTTGCTAGCATAATGGTGCCGTTAGACTGGGTTTATAATGGGCCATGTTGACCACAATTTTCATTCCAAGAACAACTGGCTACTGGAAGTTTATAGGATGCTTGATCCTTTTCATAAAATTAAAACAACTCCTTGAAAAGAAAATGAATATTAAGAACCTTTGTTTGTTCTTTCTAACTACTGGTCTTGAATCTCAATCTTCATCCCATCTCTCCTCTATGATCGACTTTGCAGCATGATGTTCTTTTTTTATGACTCAGTGTTTTGTTATTATGAAACATCATTACGCTCATAAAATAAGAATATTCACACTGTACAACGTTTTACTCTTGGTAAATGTCGCAATCTCTATATCTCAAAGAATAAAACAAGAAACTTATGACATTCACTGAGTTACAATAAAACTAAGTAATGATCTAAATAAGAAACAATTACCATTCTATAAAGTTTTGCGCTTATGACGTAACGTCCAAAACTTTTTGTATACTATCATAATCGTAATATTAAAAAAATGATATTCTTTCATACTGTATAATATGTTGCACTTGGTAAAAGACAAAAATCGTCAACAGTGGTGCAACATAAAAAAAGTGCATTTTATGACATCATATGGACCTTATTACGTCAAACTTAATAAATCTTTATAGAATATCGTAATATATATATATATATATATACTAGATAACATCCTAACATCGTAAATTCACAAAATTTGATTTTTTCTTCTTCTTTTTTTCATATGAGCTACTAGTGATGCCAACAGTTTGGCTCGGTCTAGTTTTTTAACCGAACCTCGACTCAAACCGAATATGAACTAAACCAAAAAACCAATTCGGTTCAGTTTTGGATAATAAAAAATAACCATTTTCTTTGCCAAAGCTAGGATGATTGAATTTAAGTGGAAAATGTCCCATTAATTTCTTTTGGCTGGTTTAGAGATGACCAACTAAAATCACCATATCTCAAATCGAATAAGAGGCTCTATACGAAAAAGAGAAAAGGATCTAGCAGAAAATAAAAGAGAAGAAGAGATAAAGGAATAGAAAGCCACAAGAAAAGGAAAAAGAAAGATAGGAATGTAATCTTAGAAGAGGGATTCTTGATTTCCAAAAGTGTGCTGGAGACTGCACCGTCACTCTTGGAACAGTGATGGTGCAGCTGTATTACCATAACATTTCCGGCCTCTTTGATGGCATCAACAAGCTTGAGCTGAAGAAGAATGCGGTGGCTCCGGATGTGCACGCCGGAGATTGCGCACACAACCACATCCACCAGCTTAACCGTGTCGACGAGGCTCCGGTAATCGCCGAAAGAGCCCGGAACAAGTTTCGCGCCTCGTCCCTTGAACGACAGCAGCATCTGCACTTTCTCTATGTCCACACTGATCTCCGGCCTGTGCAGAACGTACGTCTCGTGCCCTAGCTTCAAGCTCGCGTCCACCAATCTCTTTCCCAGGTAGCCTGTTCCACCAATTATCAGGACTTTGATCTTCCCCATCTCTCTCTCTCTCTCTCTCTCTCTCTCTCTCTCTCTCTCTCTCTCTCTCTCTCGTGGTGGGGAGAGAAGCCAACTTTAGTGGGCATTTATACAAGCGAGAGTTTCTTTGTTTTTCCTTTTGTTGGGTTTAGCTTGGGAGGAAGACTTGGGGCCACTGTCAGGTGCTGGTGAGATTGGTTGCTTTGTTTTGAAATTGAAGGTAGTATTGTCCATTCGTTCACACGAAGCAGAACATCAGTTTTATTTTTTACTGTAGCAATGAGAGTGACGGTTTGACTGATTTTTAAGATGAAAAAATAGAAGTTCTGTTTTATATATATATGGCCATGCTCTTTGAAGGTGTCATTTGATGCAGAATCTTACTAGCATTAGTTTGACGCGATGCAGAATGTGCGACACTATTTTAAACATCGATTTTGTCAATCATCTTGATCATCAATGCAGCATCGATCGACAGATAATGTGCGAAACTGCCCGCCGATTAACCTCTTGGAATAATTGACAGAGTGATTTGAAAAAGAAAAATTACTTTGAGCTTTTAGAACAAGCTCCTTTTAATTAAAAAGGCCATTTCTGTAGTTGTGAAAAGCTGGCTGAGAGAATTGCCCTTGTGACAAACAAATAGCTATGGTGCTAATTTTGGGATGAAATCAACGATGGTTCTTGCTATTTCGGCCCGAAAATTGAAAAGACAAAAGCACTATGAATCTTGCTAGTGCAAAGTTATATGTAACATCTATCGTTCTCGGACATGAAGAGCCTTGTCGATGCCATGAAGCACGTCGACGTGGTCGTAAAAGGTGGTCTCAATTTTTTTTTTTTTACTTCTTGTTATTGGAGAATTGTCATAATTAAATGATAATCGATAATGGTATCATATCACCAAAACCCTTTAAGTCATATCGAATAAAGCGAAATCGTTAGGAATTCTTGCTGCCAACTAAACTATCAAAGAAGGGTCCTCATTTTCTAAGTAAAAACTGTTAATTAAACATCTAGACTGGTTATATGTATGTCCCTAAGCTCGCCAATGAAATCAGTCTAATTGTGATCAAGGCCAAAAGCAAGTGTGAATCAAGGACTCTCTAAGCCACCCACTTCCATTGCACAAGTTAGGCCCCGTTTGGTTCAGCTTTGGGAAGGGGCTTTCGGCCTCAAAAGCCCCTTCCCAAAATGCTGAATCGTTTGAGCTCGGCTTTTCCCGACTTCGGAGCCGAAAGCCAGCGACATTTGAAATGCCGCTTGAATGCCGAATCCCAAAGCCGTGTCCCGGACCAGCCTTTGGCTAAACATTCCACAAATGAAAACCAGTTTCCATTTTTCCCTTCCCAAATTGCCCTCACTCAAATTTCAATTTTCCGGTTTTGCCCTGTTACTGCTCATCTTCTTCACCGTGAGAGTGGCTGACAAGGGTGGCCGGCGAAGGGCCGGCGAGGGCGGATCTGGCCGGCGAGATAGCCTGACCCAGGCGACGGCCGCCTGGGGTCGGGCGACCGCCCAGCGCCGTCGCTTGGGTCGGTGGTCGCCTAGAGTCGCGTGACCCAGGCGACGGTCGCCTGGAGTCGCGTGACCCAAGCGGCGGTCGCCTTGGTCGCGCGACTCTAGGCAACGGCCACCTGGTCGCGCGACCCAGCGGCCGCCGCCGGGTCGCGCGACTCCGGCCGGCCAGATCCGACCCAGCGACGGCGCGCTGGGAGTCGCCCAACCCCAGGCGGCCATCGCCTAGGTCGGGCGACCTCGCGGCCCCTCGTCGGCCCCTCGGCCTTCGCCGCCCGATCCGCCCTCGCCGGCCACCCTCACGGTGAAGAAGATGAACGATAATAGAAGCAAAACCGGAATATTAAGAATAAAAATTGCCAAAGCCCTTTGCAAAAAAAATTTACCAAACACTACTTAGGTCAAAGTAGCTTCACAAAATTTTTTACCAAACACCACTTGCATTTCCTAAGTGGCTTTCACCTAAAGGTATTTGCGTTCACCCATTGCGTTTGAAAATCGAACCAAACGGTCTTGAGTGCCTTTTCCTTTCCCCGTTGAAAAATTATTATTAAAAAGCCATACGCGACAATGATATGACATCACAAAGATCGCAAGTCACAAAGCAATTGAATAAAGCGGAATTGGGAGAAAATCTTGTTGCCGACAAGGGGTGAGCAGTCGGGTCAACTCTGGAATCAGACCAAACTGATTGGGTTCCCAGTTTAGGGCGGCGAACACACCACCATCCACCTGGGAACCAACAGTTATGAATTGCTTCGTCAACACCGTAAGGTTGAAAACGGTTTAACTAACATGGAGAGCAAAAGAAGAAAAACGATTCAGCTACAATACAAATCATGTTAAAGTCAACATTGACCAAAGTGATCATTTGAAAGATCCAAAGATAAGGAGATGGACGGCCACTCGTCCCCCGCCTCAACAAAGCTGTGGAAACTTTCTAAATTTCACTTTTATAAAAGACATAAAAAGTTGAAAATGCTTTGCATTAAATAATAATTTATATTTTAGAGTAAAATTTTAAGGAACTAAAAATTAAGTAGCAGTCATTCAAAATAAACGAAAATAACGTGGATTTCGTTGTTGGAAAAAATAATAGAGGTGCAAATTCGTAAAATGTAAAAGTATATTTCACGTTTCATTGTTTACTTGATTTGTCCGGATATAACTTCATTTTGAATCAAATTTCTAACGTAATTTTGGCGCCTAGTAAGTTATGATCGTGACGTCAATTATAGGGGAAAAGTATCAAAGAAGCCCTAAACATTTTGTATTAGTGTCAATTTAGTCCTAAATCTTTTTTTGGTGCCAATTCAGTCCTAAATTTTTTGCATTTGTGCCAATTCAGTCATAAACCTTTTTATGGTGCCAATTCAGTTCTAAACATTTTATATTTGTGCCAATTTAATCCTAAACCCTTTGTTTTTGTGCCAATTTTGGCTAGATTTTACTGACGTGGACGCCAATCGGCCGGTCACCGGCGCTAATGTGGACAACTTTAATAATATTTTAATTTTTTTGAATTTTTATTTCTTTTTTTCTTTTTTTTCCCCCTCCCCTCCCTCCTTCCTCCAGCAGGTCGACGGACCAACGATCGGCTAGAGGCCAGAGGCCAGCAAGGCGGTCCAGCCGACCAGAGGCCAAAGGTCGGCGAGGCTCGCCCTCGCCAGCCACTGGCGAGGGCAGCCTTGCCAATGACGGCGAAGGCGAACCTCGCCATGGCTAGGCGAGGCCCAACCTTACCGGATCTAGCGAGGTCATGCCTCGCCCAACCGCCAGTGAGGCTCGACCTCGCCATGGCTAGGTGAGACCCGACCTCGCTGGATCTGGCGAGGTCGAGCCTCGTCGGCGGCTGGGCGAGGCATAACCTCGCCAGATCCGGTGAGGTCGGGCCTCGCCCAGCCATGGCGAGGCTCGCCTTCGTCGTTACTGGTGAGGGCGAGCCTCGCCAATGGCCAGTGAGGTTGACCTCACTGGTGCTAGCCTCTGGTCTAGAGGAAGGAGGGAGGGGAGGGAAAAAAAAAGAAGAAAAAAATAAATAAAAATTCAAAAAAATATTAAATATTATTAAAGTTGTCCACGTCAGCGCTGGTGACCGGCCGGCCGGCGTCTAAGGGTGCGAATGGTAACCATTCTGCTCCAGAAATCAAATTCTTGCCAGAAATTGATTTCTGAAATTCTTGCCAGAAATTGATTTCTGGAGGAGAAATCTGTTTGGTAAAACATGACTAATTCTGCTCCAGAAATTGATTTCTGGAACAGAAATCTGTTTTGATTTGTTGATTTTTTTTGCACCTAAAAAAATTTAAATTTTACTCAAAGTAGGTGGCCACAGGTATTATAAGCCATTCTGTAAAGTTTTGAAATTTTTGATTTTTTAAAATTTTTTTGGGCATCTAAAAAAATTTAAATTTCACTCAAATTGAGTGGCCACAGGTATTCTAAGCCATCTTGTGAAGTTTTGAATTTTTTATTATTATTATTTTTTATTTTTTTGGGCACCTCAAAAAATTTAAATTTCACTCAAAGTGGGTGGCCACAGGTATTCTAAGCCATTCTGTGAAGTTTTGAAATTTTTTATTATTTTTTGGGCACCTCAAAAAATTTAAATTTCACTCAAAGTGGGTGGCCACAGGTATTTTAAGCCATTTTGTGAAGTTTTGAAAATTTTTATTTTATTATTATTTTTCTTTTTTTTTTGGGCACCTCAAAAAATTTAAATTTCACTCAAAGTGGGTGGCCACGAGTATTTTAAGCTATTCTGTGAAGTTTTGAAATTTTTGATTTTTTCTTATTTTTTTAAAAAAAATTCATTAAATTTCATATTTTCCCGAAATCTGACTTTTTTTTATTTTCTGGAAATTTTTATGATTTTTTCTAGAATTTTTCAATTTTTATGCATTTTCTGAAAAAAAAAATTATGAGAAAATAAGGAGAATGCATTCCGGAATCAAGAAGCTATAAAAAGTAGCTTCTCTTTTTCTTGCCAAAAACTCATCCTGGAATCAAAAATGCATTCCGGAATCAAGAATGCATTCTGGAATCAAGTATTTTTAACAAACGCATTTTTATTCCAGAATGCAAAAATTGCTCCAGAATGCATTCCGGAAATTTTTTAACAAACGTCATTCTGTTCCGGAACGCATTCCGGAACAGAATTTTTATTCCGGAATGCATTCCATGCGCACCCTAAGTTAGCAAAATTCGACCAAAACAAAGACAAAAGGTTTAGGACTAAATTGGCATCAATGCATAAGGTTTAGGACTGAATTGGTACCAAAAAAAAGTTTATGACTAAATTGACACCAATGCAAAAGGTTTAGGACTGAATTTGCACCAAAAAAAGGTTTAAGACTAAATTGGCATCAATACAAAAGATTTAGGACTGAATTGGCACTTTTCCCTCAATTATAGAATCATCTATTCCGTCCATCCATCTCTTTTGTATGTACAAAATGGTAACCCTACAAGCGAAAATGGAATACATTATATATATGTATATATATATATGTGTGTGTGTGTGTGTGTGTGTGTTTGTCTTTTTCTAGAATTAGGAGAAACTTTTGAAATTGATATATTCCCTTTGACATGTGGTAGTGATACCAAGTAGCTATGTAACTTTTGGATTAGATCACCGCATCTCGCTTTATTAACACTCAAATAGCTTATCCTTGATTTTTTTCCCAAAAAAACACGTAATGCGGCGTATATGTGTCGCTATTTCCTAATTTGACGCCCAAGCAAGCAAGTGTTCCAACCGGAAAAATGGCCAAACATGCCTTGCAAATTGTGGCTTCAATCATATATCTTATTAAACAGAAATATGAATAAATAGGTAAGTATGTATGAAAAATTCTACAATATTGCTTTGTCAAACCAAAATTTCTTTTGTCTACGTCTGCCGAAAAGAATAGACACTGTTTCTATACATAATTTGCTTTGAGTGCCGATTAGAGCAAAAGGCTTTTCCACTGACCATTTTTTTTTTTATTCGGTATGATCCACTGACCATATTTTAATGACACACATGCTCACAAGAAGACATGATGATTAAGGTGAATAATGATGCAGATATGCCGCCCACTGACTCTTGTTTGGTGAAGAATGTCTTGCAATTGGACCAACCAAAATGACCAAAAAAGTTCTAAATGTATTGTAATTTTCCCACTGCACCAACAAGGCTAACCAAACAGTATTTTAAGCAGACAATATGAAATTGATTATATAATAATGTCGGAAATGGGTATTTCGTGCCTAATGAACTCCTGCTATTGGTAGGTGGGTGCTCTCGTTTATTAGTTTAAGAATTTAATTTGAAGTTAAAGGAGGGCTGCCACAAATTATGATGGTTGTTGCCTTGGGAAAAGAGCTTGTGCCGTGCATGTTCACTTGATTGATTGCGCCTTGTTCGTTTGCTTAGGGCCCGTTTGGTAACGTGCCAAACAGTAAAAATTTATGTTCTTTTGTTCCCAGAAATAATTTAGGGAACAGAAATGCGTTTGTAAATTTTTGTTCCGGGCACATTTTTGCAAAAATTTGTTCCCGAAAACAGTTTTGGAAGAGAAACAAGAAGTAAAAAAAGTTGCTTCTTGTTTCTCGTACAATTTTGAGAATCGGTTTTTTTTCTTTTTCTTTTTTTTTGTTTTCTTCTTTTTGTGTTGTTGCTCTTCTTGAGGTGTGGCTGCGCCGCGATCGGCGACCGGCCACAGCCGGGCCGCGAGGGCGTCATGGCCCTCGCCGCCAGCCGCCGGCGAGGTCCCCTTGCCGGCGAGGCGAGGGCCGGACCCTCACCACCTAGGCGAGGCGGCTCGCCTAGGTCATGGCGAGGTCGGCCTCGCCCGGATCCGGCGAGGCGGCGAACGAGGCGCGGCCGGGCGGCGGCGAGGGCAACGCCACGCCTCAGCTTGGCCGTCGCCGGCGACCGGCCATGACCAAAGAAGGAACGATAGAAAGAAAAAAAATATTAAACAATTTAAAATATTATTAAAATATTATTAATAAAAAGAAATTTTGTGTAGTTACCAAACGTATTTTTGTTCTTTTCTATCCCAGGAATAGAAATTTTGGACAGTTACCAAACGCCTTCAAATGCTTAGAAATTGTTTCCGGGCACAGAATAAAAAAGAACCATTTCTGAGTAGAAATAGTTCCCCGGCATAGAAACATTGTCATGCGCACCCTTACTCTAACAATCTTTTGGATCTCTGTCTAATTCTATTCTTGTTTTGTCATGCTTACGATCAAAGTTTCAATTCAATGATAAAAGTGAAGCCATTGTACTATGAAGTTTTTGTAGAACGAGTTTCTTCTTTTCTTGTCTCTCCTAAATAAAAAATTTAGTTTGTTGAACCTTTAATTTTGTTTAAATTGCATGCTTCTAACTTCAGTGTTAGTCATTTGAAATTGGGATAAATACTATCTTATTCTTTTTAGTTTGTCAGGTTGATGTTATCTATAATATTTCATGTTGCTTTTTTTTGTTTTAAATCCAGCTCTAGCTTTGGTTGTGATTTATGTTGTATTTTTATTTCTAATTGTTAGAAAAAAAATTGTACAAAACGCCACCCGAACTTTGAGGGTATTACACATTTACCCATGAATTTTCAACTATTACACATTATTTTCTCAACTTTTATTTTGTTACAATCGTTAATCCTTTGTTATATTTTCCATTAGTATGTGTAATGTACGTGACTTTCATGGAGCAAATGTGTACTTTCATCTCTTTTTTTTTTTAATGAAAATATCTCTTTCACCCTTGATTTTTGTAAAAATTAAAAAGCGAAGAAAATGGAGAAAAATAAATTAACTAAAACATTAATATAAAAAAATAATTATCATCGATTATATTAAAAAATAAAATTTATCAATACTTGATAAAAATATTAATAGAACTAATAAAAAATTATTAAAAGAAACACAATTAAGTATAAAGGAAAAAGGCTCAATAACAAAAAAGGTGAAGGGACAAAAATTGGATACTCATTATGTTTTAATTGTCAATGCAAAAAAATATTTACTCAATAAAAAATGCTTTTTGTCCAAAATAAAAAAATACTTATAAAAAACCACCTTAGATTGAGATAATCATTTCCTTTTATCAGTTGAGGACATGTTTCCATTTATTTTTTTAATTTTTTTGTTATAAATTTACATTAGTTAACCATTTAGAGTTGCTACATTTATCGCATTATGACAAGTTCTAATTGTTTTATATTGTTGATATTTATTGTTTCTACTATTTTTAGTTGGTTTAGTTTTCTCTCTCATTTTCTATGTTTTCATTCTTTTGCGACAATCAAGGGTAAAAAAGAGATATCCTCAAAAAAATGATATGAGAATATACTTTTGCTCCTTAAACATGTGCATTGCACGTGCAAATGGAAAAATAACCGAGGATTACGGCTGTCACAAAATGAAAAAGTACTGCGTATTATGTAACGGTTGAAAGTTCAAGGGCAAACGTGTACTACCCTAAAATTTTATTATGCTTAAAATTGCTTGAAGTAAATTTTCTATCCTTCTTGTTTCTTCTGTTTCTTCATAGGAATTACTATACTTTTTTTCTAGTTTATTTTTGCAGTATGGCTTTTCTTACATAATACAATATGTAATAAGATATTGCATCTGCAGAATCATATTTAGTTGTAGACTCAACATTTTGTCCAGTCATCTTGTCTTTACCATATTCTTTTCGGTTGAACTTGATCTGAACACTAGCTCTCCTGCAATTTGCAAATTGGCAAACGTGTACTACCCTAAAATTTTATTATGCTTAAAAGGAGTTGATTAAGTGGTAAAACAATCAGGAATCTCCTCTAATGTGGGTCTCATGTCGATATCTCCTCTCCTTCGCACGACGACCCCCTAAACCAATGTGGTTCCCAGATGCAAACACGTCAAGTGATCAGTCATGTGAAAGTAGGTCGTTCGTTTATGTCAGTTTGGAGTGTGAGAGAATCATTACTTGTAATATATGTACGGATTCAAAATATCCCCAATATCTTGTTAGGTGAGATGGCGTCATATTTTAAGTGTCAATATCAGAGTGAGAGCTCACGTAGGTTCACCAGTATCCCCATAATTGTCTCCACAAACATCACCATTATGTCACACGTGTACCCGATCAAAAGTGTAATCAGTAGCTACATCAGGACTTCAAAACATATTTCGGCTGCTGGTGAAATCTTTGAAGGTCGAGACTTTAGCTTGGTCGAGTCATTTAGCCGAGTTCAACTTTGTGATAGCAATCGACCTCCGAGAAACATGTCGTTTTTCATAAACCAAATAGTCAAAGAACAACACTTATTTTGTAATTTCTATTTGGTAATTCGTGAAAGTGTTTGGGACTGTATTGCCCTTGCAGCTGTTTTTCTTGATGAAGATGATATCGCAACGTACGCAATTAAGACAATCGATGATCTGAGAACGCTGAACAAGACGGTGTACCTCAGGCCACCGGAGAACGTTCTGTACCAAAGACAACTGGTGGAGATGTGGGAGAAGCTCAGTGGAAGGACACTGGAGAAGAGAAGCGTTTCTGCAGAAGATTCTCTTGCCTCCATGAAAGGTATTTATCTAATGTTCCTTCTTAGATGGAATGTACTTTTACCTGATTATAAGAAGATTTCGATGTACTTTCAACACGTGAGGGCTTATATAAGGTACACAGTCGGTGTAAACAATAAAATTTCAATAGTAGTCCGGATCGACCAACATGTATATGAGATAGTTACTTAAATGAAACCCGCATGATTATCCAATTATCCCCCCCCCCCCCCTGGGTAGAATCTAGTCTTGGAATTTCCTTGGGTTCACTAACTTCGCAAACGATAAACTTGTCATGCAATGGTGATTATGCTTCTTAATTCTGATGGAGAACTTGATAGAAGTCCTTTGTATATTTACCATCAAGAGTGACCTGCTACATAATTTCTTACTACATTAGCTTCAGATCCATGGTAGATCATATTTAGATAGTTTTGATCCATCTTTTTGTTTCAGGACTGGGTTCTGCAGAGCAAGTGGGAGTGGGCCATTTCTACCACATATTCTAGGAAGGCTATTTGACAAACTTTGAAATTGGGGAAGCTGGAGGAGAAGCTTCCCGGCTTTATCCTGAAGTTCAATACACCCGCATGGATGAATACCTCAAGATTTATGTATGATCGTACGAGGAAGCATTTGAACCAATCAGAGTTCACTCACGCTATTGAAATAAAAATCTTGATTTTTCTAGAATGATTCCATCATTTCTGTTATTAAACAACGGTTTAAGCCGAGATTTTCGATTTATGATTGTGTTCATTTTGGTCTCAGGAGAAAACTGTTAGAAATTAAACCAAATTTGTTAGTACTTGTTTCCTTTTTGAGTCTGTTCGTATTTCCATATTTTGATAGATATTGTGAGATATTGTTTCTAGTTATATTTTAGGAAAGTTTCCTAAGTCAATTAGATTTCCTAATTAGAATAGGTTTCCTAGAAAGAGGTTTCCTATTTCGAATCAAACTATGGTCTATATATAGTCTATTTCTCTTATAATTGAGACATGCAATAGAAAGACGCGAATTGCGATTGTTTCACCTTCAAGAATTCCTTTCATCAAATCAATATTGTTGCCGCGCCTCTGACGCTCAACAAATTGGTATCAGAGCTTACGGTTCGTGATCATGGCCTCAACGAACAATCAGCTTCCTCTTCAATACCCTCGTCTTACCAAAGAAAATTATGGTAACTGTTCTGTTAAAATGAAAGCTCTACTCGGCGCCTACGGTGTGTGGGAATTTGTTAACACTGGCTATGATGAGCCAGAGGATGAAGCCACGTTGAACCAGAATCAGAGGAATGCCTTGGAGAAGGCTCGAACGAAAGATCAATATGCCCTGTCGATCATCTATCAAGCGTTAGATGATTCCATGTTTGAAAAAGTTTGAACGCCACTACCGCTAAAGAGGCATGGGAGATTCTTCAAAACACACATCAAGGAGTTCGAAAGTTCGGAAGATTCGCCTTCAAACCTTGAGAGGCGAATCGAGGGTAATTCGTATGAAAGAATCTGAATCGATTGCTGATTATTTCACGAGAATTTTGGCAATTGTTAATCAGATGAAAAGAAACGGAGAAGAAGTTTCCGATGTTCGTGTTGTTGCGAAAATACTTCGGTCCTTAGACAAGAAGTATGATTATATTGCGGTTGCAATCGAAGAATCCAAAGACTTGGATGCCATGACGGTCGATGAACTTATGGGTTCATTACAAGCCCATGAAGAAAGGTTTAGAAAGAAAAAGATTGAACCGGTGGAGGAAGTTCTCCAAACGCAGTTGACCATACGAGATGAAAAGGAGCAAAGAAGAGATCCCGTACAAAATCGCGGGACAAATCAAGATCGTGATCGAGGTCGTGGCCGAGGTCACTTTCGAGGAAGAGGTCGCGGACGGACGAGGAGATCCTCGTCGAGGTGATGGAGGATACCGTACCAAAGAGGTGTTCGTGGAAGAGGAAAAAACTCGACAAGCCAATGGTATGATAAATCTAAAATCCGATGTTATCATTGCAATAAACTTGGCCATTATGTTTCTAACTGCTGGAACAAAGAAAGTAGCAGAGCAGACGAAAAGGCGAACTTGGTGAATGATGCCGATCAAGTTCTCTTATTGGCATTCAAAGAAGATGAAGAAGGTCAAAGCGATACGTGGTATTTGGATACCGACGCAAGTAATCACATGTATGGGAGAAAGGAGATGTTTGCCGAGTTAGATGAGACAATTAAAGGGAATGTCTCATTCGGTGATAACTCTAAAATTCTTGTTGAAGGGAAAGGTACAATTTTGATTCGCTTAAAGAATGGTGCACGTCAGTTATTACTAATGTTTATTATGTTCCAAAAATGTCAAGCAATATCTTGAGTTTGGGACAACTTCTGGAGAAAGGTTATACTGTTCATATGAGAGATCTTAATCTTATGTTGAGAGATCGGAATAATAAATTGATTGCAAATGTGAAGATGTCGAAGAACAGGATGTTTATTCTTAATATAAAGAGTGAGATGTCTCGATGTCTAAAGACGTGCGTAGATGATCCTTCATGGTTGTGGCATTTGAGGTTTGGGCATCTCAATTTTGGCGGACTCAATTTGCTTTCTCGCAAGAAGATGGTTTATGGCTTACCACATATTGATCATCCCGATCAATTATGTGAAGGGTGTGTTATCGGCAAGCATTCCGGAACTAGCTTTCCGAAGGAGGCGACTTATCGAGCGAAGAAGCCGCTTGAGTTGATTCATTCTGATTTGTGTGGCCCGATCAATCCTCACTCATATGGTAATCATCGATATTTTGTTACTTTTATTGATGATTTTACTCGAAAAACTTGGGTGTATTTTTTGAAAGAAAAGACAGAAGTGTTTGATACTTTCAAACAATTCAAGAACTTGACTGAAAAGGAAAGCGGCTATTTTATCAAGGCTTTGAGGACTGATCGTGGTGGAGAATTCATCTCAGCCATATTCAACAAATTCTGTGAAAATCATGGTATTCGGCGTTTCTTGACGGCCCCGTATTCTCCTCAACAAAACGGTGTGGCTGAACGGAAAAATAGAACCATTCTTGATATGGTTCGAAGCATGTTGAAGAGCAAAAATTTATCCAAGGAACTTTGGGCTGAAGCTGTTTCGTGTGCCGTCTATCTTCAAAATAGATGTCCCACATATGGACTTGAAGGCGTAACTCCACAAGAGGCATGGACCGGGAGAACACCAAGTGTTTCGCACTTGAGAATTTTTGGGAGCATTGCATATGCTCATGTCCCGGATCAAAAAAGATCGAAACTTGAAGACAAGAGCAAAAAGCTCATCTTTATCGGGTATGACTCATCATCCAAAGCCTATCGATTATTTGACCCTAACACTTTGAAAGTGTATGTAAGTAGAGATGTCAAGTTCGATGAAGATGGAATGTGGGAAGAAAATCTAAAAGAAGAAGCGAATGTTCGTGATGATTCCGATCAAACGGAGTTGAAAATCAACCTTCACCTTCTTCTCCAGCATCTTATTCAAGTTCATCAACACCATCCTCTTCAAATAGTGTTACACCATCCTCTTCAAATAGTGTCGATGAACCGCTAATGCCAAGATCAAGAAGATTGCCTGAAATTTACGAAGCTACCGAAGAGCTTCATCTTATATGTCTTCTTGCAGATTATGAACCACTTGCTTATGATAATGCGGCCAAAGAAGAAAAGTGGAGGAAAGCCATGAACGAAGAAATTGAAGCCATCGAGAAAAATCCAACATGGGAGCTTGCTAATCTTCTGAAGGACAAGAAATCAATTGGTGTTAAATGGGTGTACAAGGCCAAGAAGAATGAGAAAGGTGAAGTAACAAGGTACAAAGCTAGATTAGTAGCGAAGGGGTACAAGCAAAAAGCCGGAATCGACTATGATGAAGTTTTTGCCCCTGTCATCCGCATGGAAACGATTAGATTGATTATTTCCATTGCTGCTCAAAATAATTGACGGATTTATCAAATGGATGTCAAATCAGCATTCTTGAATGGCATCCTTGAAGAAGAAATTTATGTCGAACAACCCGAGGGGTTTGTTGTGAAAGGTTATGAAGACAAAGTGCTAAGGTTAAAGAAAGCTCTATATGGGCTTAAACAAGCACCGAGAGCATGGAATTCCAGAATTGATGCATATTTCAAGGCGAATGAATTCTCTCAATGTCCATACGAGCATGCACTCTATTTGAAGCAAGAAAAAGGTGATATTCTACTCTTTGTTTATATGTTGATGATCTTGTTTTACAGAAATAATTCGGCGATGATTGATGCTTTTAAGGCATCGATGGTGAAAGAATTTGAGATGACCGATAATGGTCTCATGAATTATTTCCTTGGTATCGAAGTGAAGCAAAGTGCCGATGGGATTTTTATTTCCCAAAAAGGATATGCAGAAAATATCCTTGAAAAATTCAACATGAAGAACTGTATGCCGGTCAATACACCAATGGAGTGTGGAACCAAGCTTTCGAAGTTTGATGATGGTGCCGATGTTGATTCGACATATTATAGAAGCTTGATTGGAAGTTTGAGATACTTGACATGCACGAGACCGGATATTATGTATAGTGTTGGAATTGTTAGTCGATACATGGAGAAGCCGAAATCATCTCATCTTAAAGCTGCAAAGAGAATACTTCGGTACATCAAAGGTACTATTTCTCATGGTTTACACTATTATTGCTCTGAATCTTTCAAACTTAGAGCTTATTCGGATAATGATTATGGTGGAGATATCGACGATCGAAAAAGCACCACGGGATTTGTATTTTTCTTGTGCGACACTGCTTTCACGTGGTCATCAAAGAAGCAATCAAGTGTTACTCTGTCGACATATGAAGCTGAATATGTAGCTGCATCTTCATGCGTTTGTCATGCAATATGGTTGAGAAGACTACTCAAAGATATTCTTATGGAGCAGAAGAAAGCAACGGAGATTTTTGTTGATAATGTTTCTGCTATTGCTTTGGCGAAAAATCCAGTTTTTCATGAACGAAGTAAACATATCGATGTTCGATATCACTTCATCCGAGAACAGGTTAAAGAGAATGAAGTTGAAGTATTGCATATGAAGACCGGAGATCAAGTAGCAGATATTTTTACTAAACCTCTCAAGATCGATGCTTTTCGAAAGTTCAAGAGCCTGCTTGGAATGATCGATGGAAGAGAATTTGGTTTAGGGGGGAGTGTTAGAAATTAAACCAAATTTGTTAGTACTTGTTTCCTTTTTGAGTCTGTTCGTATTTCCATATTTTGATAGATATTGTGAGACATTGTTTCTAGTTATATTTTAGGAAAGTTTCCTAAGTCAATTAGATTTCCTAATTAGAATAGGTTTCCTAAAAAGAGGTTTCCTATTTCGAATCAAACTATGGTCTATATATAGTCTATTTCTCTTGTAATTGAGACATGCAATAGAAAGACGCGAATTGCGATTATTTCACCTTCAAGAATTCCTTTCATCAAATCAATATTGTTGCCGCGCCTCTGACGCTCAACAAAAACAAAGACCATCTCAGAGTATTCCTACAATGATCCTAGCTAAGGTTTTCTGGGTTATTCAATATCTGTTTTTTGTAATTAGTGAAATTAAGATAACTCAGGCACCTGGGGATTTACAATAAGAACAGGCTTGCGCATTTCTCATGACTCGACTTAATGGTTCAGGTATTGCCAATAGGAAATCTTTTGTTTCATGATGTTACTCCTAGTGATCTGAGAATGTTCCAGTTACAGAGAAGCAGAAATTCACGTATTCCTTGTCTGTCATTACAATAATATTCCCACTATGCATTTGTTAGGAAGCCTCATTTAGCCCTTCCCTACCTATCCGCATCGTGTGACAATCAATCTGTTTCTTGCATATATCAACATACCCGACATTTTCTTTCCTTCTTTTTTTTTTTGTTTTGGTTGGGCCATACAAGACACCCCTTGAAGCCTTTTCGTAGGGCAGTTTCCCCGAGGTTCCTCCCCGTAAAGACGAGCTTGTTCATCTTCTCATCAGGACCCCATATTTTTGCCGGACAGCCATCCAGCATCGAATCGACCCCTTGAAAGAGAGAGGCAATCTATGAAGTAAAACAATATAAGGTTTCAGACCACAATGGCTGGAAAGAAGTTGGTATACCAATCACAGACAATATACCCTTCATTCTGAACAAGTCCTCCCCTTTTTCGGCAATCAGCCTGTTAACTTGTGCCTCGAGTTTCGGCCAATTCGATGGATGGATGTAATCGATCCGAACGATTTCTAGAAGCGTGACGAAATCGTTTAAGTTGGTCAGAATTTCTTCACCAACTTCGTCAGAAAAGAAATATCTGAAGTCGTGTTCCTGAAGGGCACTCCGTGCGAAATGACAGAGAGTTGGTCTCTCTGTCTTTGACTCTCGCACGCGACTGACGCAAAGTCAGAGAGAGACTTGCTTCAGCTGATAAAAGGAGGTCTCCACAATCTTTGCATTAAATGAAAGAAGGTCCCACAAGCTTCTCTTTCTTGGTTTTACATAGAAACTCCATCGCAAGAAGGATTGACTAAAAGAAAAAGTTGCGGGCTTGTTTTGTCTTCTTTCATTTACTTCTTTGTTTCTTTCGCGAGCTATTTTCTTTGGTTGTAAAGGAAAGAACAATGAAAGCTTCCATGTGCACATTAATTGAAGGAGCTGAACGTCAGTGGACAAGATCCGTGAAGACGGCGAGCTGCCTCTTTCTTAGGATTATCTTCAGAGATTATGGGCGCACTCTCGACTCCCTTCTCTTGAAATTGCTCCTTACTTCTATAAAAGCAAGAGAGGGAAGAAGAGAGGTGAGAGACTCTAGAGAGCTCCAGAAACGAAACGAAGAGGAGAGCTCTCAAGAGACCGAAAGAGATTTGTACCGAGAGTGAATCCATTGAGTTGAGTTGTTAAACGCTGTAGATATTGAGTATATATATTAGGACTGAGAAAAATTGGAGTGTGAAGGTAATTGTAACCCTGCAATTCCTCGATTTATTAATGGATTATTTGCTAGCTCTTTCCATGGACATAAGTTTCAATATTCGGACCGAATCAAGTAAAATTTTTCATGTCATTTTATTGTTCCTCATTTTATTCCTATCTATTTCTATAGCTCCCGATATAATTGCAAAGTAACGATCTGTTTCCGCTGGGTCGCCGATTTTACAATACAGCCTCTCTAACCAATCATCGACCTAATCCATGGACATTGCACGTGAGAGACATGTTTGAACAGCTATCATCAGGGGCAAAAGCAAACTGCAAGTGCTAGAACGCAAACAACATATGGGACACAAATTCGCATGCACATTATTGGCCAGTGATGAATACAGAGATTTATGCAAATTCCAAGGCCTCATCATAAACCAAGAGTATGAAGATTCCATGTCAAAGCACAGATAAGAAAACATGTCTTATAAACTTTTTTAATATCACTGGCCATTATTTGAAAGTCTTCACATATTTGAGTAGTTTTATTAGTAAATCCACACTTTACTTGAACGACAAGTGTGAAAGTGCTCGCCTGAGCCAAGCTGCCAAATACAGTATTGGCTTATAATTTTTTTTTTAGCTTCAAATGAAGCTGAGGCTAAATAGAGACGATGAATATATCGTTGGATTTGAAGATAGACATCTTTGTTATATGGATTTCTGTGGTATCATGCCATATAAGACACAATCCACGTAATAAAAGGGAAGGAAAAAGAGCTCTTGACGCAGTCTGATTCTTTAAGTAGACACGAAACACGTCCCCCCCCCCCCCCCTCTCTCTCTCTCTCTCTCTCTCTCTCTCTCTCATCACCATCATCTAGCTCTCCAATAATCCTCACATCAAATGGTGAAGAGCAAGGTCCTCGTCGTCGGTGGCACCGGCTACATCGGCCGTAGGCTCGTGCGGGCAAGCCTCGACCAGGGCCACCCTACGTACATCCTCCAGCGGCCAGAGATCGGCCTCGACATCGACAAGCTCCAGACGCTGCTGTCCTTCAAGAGGAGCGGTGCCCACCTCATCGAGGGCTCGTTCTCAGACCCGAGGACGCTCGTCGACGCCGTGAGGCAGGTCGACGTCGTCATCTGTGCCATGTCGGGCGTCCATTTCCGGAGTCACAACATCCTGATGCAGCTCAAGCTCGTGGAGGCCATCAAAGAAGCTGGAAACGTTAAGGTAATTAACCTTACGTGAGATCCATTTTCTCTCTTTTTAGAGCAGTCCTTGTTGTCTTTCTACTATTTGCACATTTCTTTCGTATAGCATAAATCTCGGAATATTTGTGAAAATAATTTTTTTTAACCTTTAGAGTACTGAAGGAAATATAATCGTCCAATTTTCAACTCGTGATAGGACTTTCGTATTCGAACAGGAAAAATAGAGTAAACACTGTCGGCGTAAAGAAAACTCTATATAAGCGTTCTTATGTACCTTTATGTTGAGGGTTTTAATCGTTCGCTCTCGGATTATCCATCAAATTAAAAGTAAAGGAGATTGCTCGTGAAAAGAAAAATTACGTTGATGGTGTAAGTTATAATTACTCATTTGAATATCCATATGTTTTTGCAAATTCTGATACAAAGCATTATTTGATTATCACATTTAGAGGGTCCAAGTGTGTGATTTGTTCAGAATAGTGTGCGCTCGGGCGTCTATATATTCATATCTATGTCTAGTTCTAGTTCTTATTATAATTGATTATTCACACTACCTAGTGAAAAACCTAGACAACCGTTTAGCTAAACTCATTTCACTAAATCGGGTTTATCAGGTATCAGGAAAGAGTATGATTGCGGTTCTACGTGGTTAGAAGGTTATATACATATAGAAGACCATCTCCTTTACAAAAAAAATTACTGGGCGATGATTTCATGATTATTGTAGCTGACAACCCATCGGCTGCAACAATGAAGAGCAAAATATAAAACCATTCGGCTACCATACAAAGTCATGCTAAAGTCAAAACTGACCAGTTTGGCCCATCGCATTATCCGCACAATTTGAAGCTTTGTTGTTGTAATTTTCTTTTGTTACAGACACGTAACGCCGCGTGTCGCTAGTGACCTAGTTTGAAGTCCGAACAAGCAAGCGTTCCAACCAGAAAGGGCCAGACGTGTCTTGCAAACTGTGGGTTCAATTATTCGTCTTGTGTTATAATAAAAGACAGATGAATAGATTGGTACATATGCATGAACAATTTTTTAGATTTCCGATTGTGTTGAAAAGTTTGCTCCACTGACCATAGTTTAAAAACAAATATGCTAAAAAGAGAGATCACGTTAAGAGGTGACGATGATACAGATAAGGCCGACCAAACAGTATCTTAAGCAGACAATATCAGATTGATTGAAATAAGAACGTTAGAAATGGATATGCAAGCTTTTTGAACTACTGCTACTGGTGGGTGGGTGCTCTTTTTGTTAAGTTAATGCATGTTCACTTGACTGATTGCGCCTTGATTGCTGCTCGATCGAACAATCTTTTGAATCTTCGTAAAATTCTATTGTTGTTTTGTCATGCTTATGATCAATGTACGGGAATTTTTGTTATATGAGAAATTTTTGTAGAACAAAATTATTTTTAAAAATTTTTTAAAAATTTTAAAACAAATTAAAAAAAAGGCTCAACAATAAAAAGTTTCATGATAAAAATTGGTCACTCGTTATGTATATATAAAGGGTTCATAAATGTAAAATAATGATTATTAACAAAAATATGTAGCAAATAATAAAAGGAATGATGTACTCAACTAATGAACGCAAACGATTTTCGGAATCTAAGGTGACTTTTTAAGTATTTTTTTATTGATTAATATTTTTTATCAATTAAACATTTAGTGTACACAACGACTATCCAATTTTTGCCATTTGACCTTTTTGTTATTGAGGCATTTTTCCTTTATACTTAATTGTGTTTCTTTTTCTTGTATTTTTTTATTAGTTCCATTGATATTTCATCAATTTTAATAAATTTCATATTTCAGAATTATTAGTGATACTTATTTTTCTGATATTAATGTTTTAGTTAATTTATTTTTCTTCATTTGTTTATTTTTTCTTTCGTTACAGAAATCAAGGGTGGAAGAGATCTTTCTATAAAAAAAATGAGATGAAATAATACATTTAACCCTTAAAAGTCACGTGCATTGTACATACTAGCGGAAAAAATAACGAAGGGTTAACGGCTATAACAACATGAAAGTTTACGAGTACTGTGTAATTGGTTGAAAGTTTGATCGCAAAAGTATACTACCCTAAAAGTTGGTGGGGGGTTTTGTCGAATCTTCCATAATTGTTAATTATTTTTCATTTTACTTATAATTGCTTGAGGCAAATTTTCTATCCTTCTTATTTCTTCTATTTTAATTGATGAAATCTTATGTACATTTTCTAGTTTATCTTTTTAAATATGGCTCTTAATATAAAAGTACAATATGTAATAAGATATTGCATCTGAAGAATTATGTTTAGGTGGAGACTCAACATCATGTCCATACATCTTATCTTTGTTCAACAAAATTCTTTTATTACCTAAATTGCTAACGTGACATTGCTAAGAAAGCTATTTCTCTCAAGTAATTGTCATGATGTGTGCATGTCTCTCTCTCAATTTGTGTTTTGCTAATGTACTGTCACATCGGCATCATGTTAAAAATTGCCGTCCATCAAATACATCACTGATGTTTTTAGTGATTCTAAATTTATGCAGCGGTTCTTGCCATCGGAGTTCGGGACGGACCCGTCCCGCATGGGTCATGGAATTGAACCAGGAAGGGTCTCGTTCGATGACAAAATGGAGGTGAGAAAAGCAATCGAGGAGGCTAAAATCCCTTTCACGTATATATCGGCCAACTGCTATGGTGGTTATTTTGTGGGCAATCTCTCTCAACTATCGAGTCTCACTCCTCCAAAAGACACTGTATATCTCTATGGAGATGGCAACGTCAAAGGTATGTGATAAACCTAGTTTAGGCATAAGAACAAGGGTTATAGTTTCATCCACCCCGAATCGTGGCAAATTTCCTATTACCATACCTATGATTGATGGATTACAACCATACGATGCCATAGTTGTAACCCACCAATCAGGAAATTGATTGGAGCGAGTTTTCTCCAACTAGAGACAGAGGAAAACATGTTCCCCATTTACAATATAGAACCGGTAACATGTGAAATGATCAATTCGTGTCAAAGTTGGTCATCCGTTTATGTCAGTTTGGGTTGTGAGGGAATTATGACTCGTATTTTATGTATGGATCCAATCTTTCTGCAGTGTCTTGTAAGGTGAGATTGTGTCATATTTTAAATGTTCGTCTGATGTCAATATCCCCATGATTGTATCCTTAAACATCTCCATTACATCACCCGCGTACCCGATCAAAAGGGCAATCAATAGCTATATATCTAGTCTAAATCGGGAGTTATACTTCGACTGCTCATAAAATCTATCAAGGTCGAGACCTTAGCTTAGTTGAGTCATTTAGCCAAGTTCAACTTTGTTACAGCAACTGACTTCCTAGAGCTAAGTCTTTGTTACTACCGACTAGTCAAAGAGCAACACTTTTTTTCCCAATTAAGACACAAGTATGCATGAATATGTATATGAATAAGTCATGAAAGTGTTTGATACTGCATTATTCTTGCAGCTGTTTTTCTCGATGAAGATGATATCGCAACATACGCAATCAAAACGATTGATGATCCGAGAACACTGAACAAGACGGTGTACCTGAGGCCACCTGAGAACATTCTGTCGCAAGGACAACTGGTGGAGATGTGGGAGAAGCTCAGTGGAAGGACCCTGGAGAAAAGAAGCATTTCTGCAGAAGACTTCCTTGCCTCCATGAAAGGTACTTACCTGATTTATTGTTTTGTTAGATGACGTGTACTTTTGTAGAATATAGTGTTGGAATATCTTAAGTTCACTGAACATGTCATGCAATGGTCATTATGCTTCTTAATGCCGACGGAGAACCTGATAAATATCCTTTGTATATTTACCATCAAGAGTGACCCGCTACATAATTTCTTACTACATTAGCTTCAGATCTATGGTAGATCACATTTAGATACTTTTGATCTATCTTTTTGGTTCAGGACGGGGTTATGCAGAGCAAGTGGGAGTAGGGCATTTCTACCACATATTCTACGAAGGCTGTTTGACAAACTTTGAAATTGGGGAAGATGGAGAAGAAGCTTCCCAGCTGTATCCTGAAGTTCAATATACCCGCATGGATGAATACCTGAAGATTTATGCATAATCGTACTAAGAAGCATTTGAACCAATCAGAGTTCACTGTAGCTATCAAAATAAAAATCTTGAATTCACTATAATGATTCTATCGTCTCTGTTATTAAAAACAATGGTGTGAGCCGAGAATTTCGATTTATGATCGCATTCTTTTCGGTCTAAGGAGAAAACAAAGACCATCTCAGAGTATTCCTACAACGATCCTAGCTAAGGTATTCTGGGTTATTCAAAAGCTGTTCTTTGTAATTAGTGAAAATAAGATAACTCAGGCACATGGGAATTCACAAGAAGAAGAGGCTTGATCATTTCTCATAACTCTTACTTAAAAATTCAGGTATTGCCAATAGGCAATCTTTTGTTTCATAATATAACTCCCAGTCATTTGAGTATATTCCAGTTACAGAAAAGCAGCAGTTCATGTATTCCTAGTCTATCATCATAATAGTATTCCCACCATGCATTTGTTAGGAAGCCCTCCTTAGTCCTTCCCTACCTATCGGCATCATGTTATAGTTAATCCGTTTCTAACATATAACAACATATGCAACACTTTCATTCGTTCTATTTTATATGGTCGGGTCATACAAGACACCCCTTGAAGCCTTTTCGTATGGCAGTTTCATTGAGGTTCCTCCCTATAAAGACGAGCTTGTTTATCCTCTTCTCATCAGGACCCCATACTTTTCCCGGACAGCCATCCAATGTGGAATGGACCCCCAGAAAGAGAGGCAATTTTTGAAGTAAAATAAGCTGAGGATTTAAACCAAAATGGCTGGAAAGAAGTTCGTAAACACAAATAGTGGAACCTGGAATCCGTATCGTTGCTCATAACCAGTCATTGACAGTACACCCTTCATTCTGTACAAGTCCTCCCCTTTTTCTTCAATCAGTCTGTCTAACAATCATCAACCTATTCCATGGACATTGCATATGAGAGACATGTTTAAACAGTATCATCAGAGTTGAGCAAAAGCAAACTGCAAGTGCTAGAATGCAAACAACACATGGGACACTAATTCACATGCACATTATTGGCCAGTGACGGTTGCAGAAAGATCTATGCAAATTCCAAGGCCTAATCAGAAACCAAGAGTATTAAGATTCTATCTCAAAGCTCAGATAAGAAAAAATGCCTTACCAACCTTTTCAAGACCACTGGCCATTATTTGAAAATTTTCGCATATTTAAGCACCAACCATTAGAAGTCAAAGTACATTCTTAGTTTTAGGAGTACACACACCTACACTTTACTTGAACGACCGATGACCAAGCGTCAAAGTGCTCTCTTGAGGCAAGCTGCCAAATACACTATTGGCTCATAAGTCTCCAAGTGAAAAGTGCAGACTGCAATGTTCATTCAACCCAACTAGAAACAATGTAGCTGAGATGCTCATTGGGCCTCCGAATCCTCTTAATGTTGTCTTCATAGATAGTAAAAGGGCCCAAAGGGGGGACACATGCTCTATAGTTGAGGAAAAGCTGAAGCGTAAAGTTAAATTTATGCCCGAACCCAAGGCAGAAATTTGCAGAAATTTTCAAAACAATTTTTCTCACTTGGTCTCCTCACAATATTTCTCCTTCAGGTTCTCTGCTTTTGCTACGTTTGATGACCGCAGTAGAATTGGTCTACCAATGAATTTTTGAAAGTATTGCACAGGGCTAAACTAGTTGACACAGATATCAGTAGCAGTCCCGCAAGAAAAAAAAAGCCAAAATCCATTGGACAACATGTCAAGAATTCATCAAAAAAACACTATCGTCATGCATTCTACAATGGAGCTAGTAAGCCAACTGCACTCACTGCTTGCTGCTCGCTGCCAGATGGCGATGGCCTGGGCTGGCACTTTGGCCCTCAGTACCATGACATATGCGCTGACCAGACTGCAGTACACCTCGTGCCACCAGTAGCTACGAGAAGCAGAGGGGCAGTCCATGGACATAAAAATTATTTGGATATGTTTTCTGTGACTTTGTGTGCAGGTTGACAAGGGTTAAAGAAGAGTAGACCTGTCTAACAGGTTCAGGTACCTGGCATAGTAATGGCCGGATACCCAGCCAGGTCTGGCCGGACGCCTCGCTGTGCAGTTTAAATTTGAATTTTGCCCTCTCAATCCTACAGTTGTTCGGGTGCAGACATCGGAAAGTCTTGACGTTGAAAAATTAGTCCTTTGAAGTGTTAATAAAGGCCAAGTAGATTGTTAATATCAGCGAATGCGATGTAGCAGCGTGCACGATGAAAACAATCGATGATCCGAGGACACTAAACATTCTCTCCCATTGACTTAGAATTGGTTGCCTCCATGGAAGGCAATTATTTGCTTGTGAAAATGAGTTCACAATTAGTAACCTTCCGTATACACTGCAAAGGTTAATACATGGCTCCAAGATTATACATACAAAATCTCATTTGTCGGCTTGACTCCACTCATAAGTCATAACCTCAAAGCTCGAAATTCGATTCAAACTCGATCGAAGTGCTTTTTTCTCCATTCGAACTCAACTCGATACAAAACTCGACATACTTGAGCTCGACTTGATAAGTATATAAAATCCAACATTCTTGACTTTTCTTGCTTGACCGAATCTGACTTGGCTCAAAATACTCGCACTCCCTCTTTTCGTTTGTTTTTAGTATTAGATGGTCCAAGTGTAGTAATACCATTGAATGGGCTATGGAAGAGAGTCATGAATGCCTGAGACAAGCATTCTTTCCCACAACTATGGCCTCATTAGCCTCAAACGAGGGACGGTCTTTTAATCTCCAGACACCCATGTATCCGTTTCATAAAACTTTTTAAGTCTCTGAAATTTTCTGATCCAGTGAATCCACAGAGTGGTAAATGAAGAGCATAATCACATAACCAATTCATCGAATCAAGCTAACAATACCATTTTAAGTATAAAAAACGAAACACTCAACTAAGCTCACAAGCCGATAGAATCAAATATTGTTAGGCTCGAACTCAGCCCGACAAGTTACTCTAGCTCAAGGAATCGAGCTGATCTCGAGTGAGCGAAAAAGTCCAGCGTGAGGAGCTTGACTTGCACCCAGCGAAAAAAGTCGAGCATGGGGAGCTTGACTCACTTGCACCCTTGGACTCTAGCGCAGTCTACGAGGGCTGATCAATTCGACTTTGAAATTGGGGAAGATGGAGAAGAAGCTTCCCAGCTTTAGCCGGAAGTTCAATACACCCGCATGGACAAATTCCTGAAAATCTATGCATGGAGGAACTAAGAAACCATATGAATCTGGATTTAAAGTTCTTAATCGTGAGAGATTCTGTTCTATGTCTCTTCGTGATCAAGACGATGGTTTAAGCGAATATATTCCGATTTGCTTTCAATCTCCCAAGAAATTAAAGAAGCTGTTGATCATAGAGTTCCAACAATCGACTTTCGCGATCAAAGTTCGGAAATTGCCTGTCTTCGCGTGGTTTTTTCTCTCGTTGGCGTGGGGATGAGGAAAGGTGACTAATGCCAGTGATTTCCTCTAAACATTATCATAAGGATCTCACCTAGATCCTTCATTAGGCAATATTCTGTTTGAGCAATAAGTACTCCGCAACACCCGTGACCCGGAACTCCAAGGTTAGCGAGCCCGTTACCTCAACCCCGTCAAGACGCTAGCAATTAGGAAGTCTCTCTACACAAAGTATGTTGCAGCTAAGCAACACCAACACGCGAAGTTTAAAGGTTCACTCACAACATTGTCCTACCTCTGCATCATAACTTTTCCATGACAAGGAATCTTCATAAAACTTTCTAGGAAAGAGTTTTTTCGCAATTGGGTTTAAGTGATTCGGACAAGTGTTTAATTATTGTCGTACGAGCCACCGGTACTGTTCGATCGACGGGTAATAAAATAGTAATTAGGCACAAAGAAAGAAGATTTAAGGTGGTAAAAAAAATTAGGGGTTCAATAGCTATAATAATAGCAAATCAGATCTGGTAATTGGCATTATTGCGCCTCTATATTGACGACTTTGATCTAATGTTGGTCCAAGTCCATTTAATGTAACATTAACTGCATTGGATCCCTTAATTCGTCCTATCTTTTTTAGAATAATTTGTTACATGGATTTCTGTGGTATCATGCCAACTATAAGGCGCAATCCATGTGATAAAAGGAAAAGGAAAAGAGCTCTTGACGCAGTCTCATTCTTAAGTAGTTAATAAAGTACCAACTCAAGATTAATTTGCAAGATTTGACGATTAAGACACGAAACATCCCTCTCTCTCTCTCTCTCTCTCTCTCTCTCTCTCTCTCTCTCTCTCTCTCTCTCTCTCTCTCTCTCTCTCTCACATATATACCCTCTCATTGCTCTATTCATCAACTCAAAGAACTAAGATAGCTCTCCCATAATCCTCACATCACATGGCCAAGAGCAAGGTCCTCATTGTTGGCGGCACCGGCTACATCGGGCGGAGGCTTGTGTGGGCAAGCCTGGACCAGGGCCACCCCACATACGTCCTCCCGGAGACCGGCCTCGACATCGAGAAGCTCCAGACGTTGTTGTCCTTCAAGAGGCGCGGTGCCCATCTCATTGAGGGCTCGTTCTCGGACCCAAGGAGCCTTGTCGAGGAAGTGAGGCAGGTCGACGTCATCATCTGTGCCATGTCGGGCGTCTACTTTCGGAGCCACAACTTCCTGATGCAACTCAAGCTCATAGAGGCCGTCAAAGAAGCTGGAAATGTCAAGGTAAACTCATTTTTTCTCTTTTAAGAGAGGTCTTTATTGAGTTGTTACTATTCACTAACTTCTTTTATTTGTTCGGTTCGAAGTTTTTCATAGGGTTTTAGAGAGTATTATGCGCTTCATATGATACTCAATTTCAAAGCAAGTACTTATATCTATGGAGTGCCCAGTAAAACAATTAACTTCTCCTGATAATTGATGTAAAAAAATTGATCTAATATCTGTCTTTGGAGTATTCATGATAGATATTTGTGTTATCTATATCTAAGTCTCAAAAAGTTCAAGATTTTACACAGCGACATATCTATATAAGACTAAAATACTCCAAGATTTTATTGATAACATAACGCCGTCGGAGACAATATATATTTTTACATAGAGATCTAAAGATATTTGCGGATATAATATATATATATATATATATATATATATATATATATTTTACCCTTAGAGTACAGAAAAAATGTAATTGTCTAATTTTCAACTTATGATAGGACTTTCTTCACTTGTTTTTCTTTTTCTTTTTCTTTTTTACCTTATGCACATGCTTGACTTGGACATCCATCCAATGTGTTCCACACCGTAGAGAAGAAAATTTTTCGAGAAAGTCAAGAGAATAGGAGAAGTACTGCGGACTTTTTGTGCGTGTATAAATTCGAACAGGACAAATAGAGTCTATATCGTCATGTAAAGAAGACGACTTTACACAACCGATCTCACTTTTAATTTTAATTTGAGGTGTTTGATCTTTCACTCTAGCGGTACCCATCAAATCAAAAGTGAATAAGGTTGTGCAAATTGTGATACATGTGCACACATTATATGATTATCTATGCGGTTGGATCTTTGTTTTATTCTATTCTTATTTTGTCATGCTTATGATCAAAGTCTTATTTAATCTTCGCGGGCCATGCGCTTGTCGGCCACAAGCGAGGGTCTACATGCCCTCACTGGCCACAGGCGAGAGTCGCAACCTTGGTTGGCCAACAAAGGCAAGCTAATCTTCGTCTTCTAGACCAGCACTTCCAGAATCCTTGCTCATCAGCTCCTCTGTGCTCGCCTCCAATGACCTCCAATTCGACCTCATCGATCGGCAGAGCTACGAGCCTAAGGATCTCACGAAGGGATCCAGGCGAGGGCCATAACTCTCACCTGTGGCCAGTGAGGGTTTGATCGATAAAGAAGATGAAAGAGATGAGCAACGGTGTTGAGAAGAATAAAAAGAAAGAACAGGAAAGGAGAAAAAAATAATTTTAAAACAATATCGTTTCGGATCATTTCTTCCATGTCGGCCGTCAGAAATGCCACGTCAGACGGCCGGCGCTAACTGGACTACCACGTCAGCAATTTTTGGCCTAAATTGGCCTAATAGACTACATTGAAATATTGTCAAAAGATTTAAAACTCATTGACCAAAGTGAAAAGTTTAAGACTGAATTATCGGTGTAATAGATTTTAGACTTTTTGGACAATTTTCCCCTCTCTCCATCCAAGTTTTCTTTTTTTAGGTTTTGCTAATGTACCGTCAGACCGGCATCACTTTAAAAAATCCTCATGCATCAAATACTGACGACGATTTTAATGTTTTTTTTAATTTTTTGCAGCGGTTCTTGCCATCAGAGTTCGGAACAAACCCGGCCCGAATGGGTCATGCAATTGAACCGGGAAGGGTCACATTCGATGAGAAAATGAAAGTGAGAAAAGCAATCGAGGAAGCTAAAATTCCTTTCACATATATCTCCACCAGCTGCTTTGCTAGTTATTTTGTGGGTAGTCTCTCTCGGTTATCGAGTCTCACTCCTCCAAAAGACACAGTATATCTTTATGGAGACGGCAACATCAAAGGTATGTGAGGTGCATAAACCTACTTTAGGCATTACAACAAGGGTTATATTTTTCTCCGTATCTAATTAGAAGAGTTCTTTTCTAACCATGCTTCGGATAAGTGGGTTACAACCATTTAGAAATATGTCTTTTTCGTTCCGAATAGTCAAAGGACAACAAGTCTTTTATGAATTTCTATGTGGTAAATTCGTGAGTGTATGATTCTTGCAGCGGTTTTTCTCGATGAAGATGACATCGCAACGTACACGATTAAAACGATTGATGATCCAAGAACACTGAACAAGACGGTGTACCTGAGGCCACCAGAGAACATTCTGTCCCAAAGACAACTGGTGGGTATGTGGGAGAAGCTCAGTGGAAGGACCCTGGAGAAGAGAAGCATTTCTGCAGAAGACTTCCTTGCCTCCGTGAAAGGTACTTACCTGATTTATTGTTTTGTTAGATGACACGTAATTATAAGAAAATTTCGACCCCTTTTGTAGAATTTGGTGTTGGAATATCCTTAGGTTCACTGACTACGCGAACGATAAACATGTCATGCGATGGTGTTTATGTTTTTTTATTGCTGACAGAGAACCTAATAAAAATTCTTTGTATACCTTCAAGAGTGACCTGCTGCATAATTACTTGCTACATTAGCTTCAAATCTATGGTAGATCAGATTTAGTTAACATTGATCTATCCTTTCGTTTCAGGAATGGATTATGCGCAGCAAGTGGGGATGGGGCATTTCTACTACGTATTCTATGAAGGCTGTTTGACAAACTTTGAAATTGGGGAAGATGGAGAAGAAGCTTCCCAGCTTTATCCTGAAGTTCAATATACCCGCATGGATGAATACCAGAAGATTTATGCATGATCGTGCTAAGAAGCATTTGAACCAATCAGAGTTCACTTTCGCTATCAAAATAAAAAATCTTGAGTTCTCTGTAGTGATTCTATCATTTCTGTAATTAAACAATGGTTTCAGCCCAGATTTTCGATTGATGATCGTGTTCTTTTCGGTCTCAGGAGAAAAGAAAGACCATCTCAGAGTATTCCTACAATGATCCTAGCTCAGGTTTTTCGAGTTATTCAAAAGCTTTCTTTTTTGTAATTAGTGAAAATAAGATAACTCAGGCACATGGGGATTCACAAGAACAGGCTTGATCATTTCTCATAACTCAACTTAAAAATTCGGGTTTAGCCAATAGGCAATCTTTTGTTTCTGATATAGCTTCCAGTCATTTGAGAATATTCCAGTTAAAGAGAAGAAGCAGTTCATGTATTCCTAATCTGTCATCACAATAGTATTCCCACTATGCATGTGTTAGGAAGACCTCCTTAGTCCTTCCCTACCTGTCAGCATCATGTTATAGTTAATCCATTTCTTGCATAAAAAAACATAGCCGACACTTTGATTCATTCTCTTTTGATTGGTTGTGTCATACAAGACACCCCTTGAAGCCTTTTCGTAGGGCAGTTTCATCAAGGTTCCTCCCTATAAAGACGAGCTTGTTTTCTTCTCATCAGGAACCCATTCTTTTCCTGGACGGCCATCCAATGTTGAATGGACCGCCTGAAAGAGAGGCAATTTTTGAAGTAGAATAAGATGAGGATTTAAACCAAAATGGCTAGAAATAAGTTCGTAAACACAGATAGTGGAACCTGGAATACATATCGTTGCTCATAACCAGTCATTGACAGTACACCCTTCATTCTGTACAAGTCCTCCCCTTTTATTTCAATCAGTCTGTCTAACCAATCATCAACCTAATTCATGGACATTGCATGTGAGAGACGTGTTTACACAGACATCGTCAGAGTTGAGCAAAAGCAAACTGCAAGTGCTAGAATGCAAACAACATATGGGACACAAATTCGCACGCATATTATTGGCCAGTGACGAATACAGAGATTTATGCAAATTCCAAGGCCTCATCAGAGACCAAGAGTATTAGATTCCATCTCAAAGCACAGATAAGAAAACATGCCTTAAGATGTCAAAGTACATTGTTAGTTTTATGAGTACACACATCTACACTTTACTTGAACGACCAATGATCAAGCGTAAAAGTGCTCGCCTGAGCCAAGCTGCCAAATACAGTATTGGGTTATAAGTCTCCAAGTGAAAAGTGCAGACTACCATGTTCATTCAACCCAACTAGAAACAATGTAGGTGAGATGCTCATTAGGCCTCCGAAACCTCTTGATATTGTCTTCATAGATAGTAAAAGGGCACAAAGGGAAGACACAGGCTCTATAGTTGAGGAAAAGCTGAAGCGTAAAGTTAAATTTATGCCCGAACCCAAGGCAGAAATTTCAAAACAATTTTTCTCACTTGGTCTCCACACGATGTTTCTCCTTCAGGTTCTCTGCTTTTGCTACGTTTGACGACCGCAGTAGAATTGATCTACCAATGAATTATCAAAAGTATTGCACAGGGCTAAAATAGTGAACACAGATATCAGTAGCAGTCGCGCAAAGAAAAAAAAGCCAAAATCCATTGGACAACATGTCAAGAATTCATCAAAAAACACTATCGTCATGCATTCTTGATGGAGCTAGGAAGCCAACTGCACTCACTGCTTGCTTCTCGCTGCCAAATGGCGATGGCACTTTGGCCCTCTGTACCATGACATATGCACTGACCAGACTGCAGTACACCTCGTGCCACCCGTAGTTACAAGAAGCAGAGGGGCCGTCCATGGACGTAAATATTACTTGGACATGTTTTCTGTAACTATGTGTGCAGGTTGACAAGGGTTAAAGAAGCGTAGACCCATCTAACAGGTTCGGGTACCCAGCATAGTAATGGCTGGATACCCAGCCAGGTCTGGCCGGATGCCTGGCTCTGCAGTTTAAATTTGAATTTCACCCTCCCAATCCTACGATTGTTCGGGTGCAAACATCGGAAAGTCTTGACGTTGAAAAATTAGCCGTTTGAAGTGTTAACAAAGGCCAGGTAAATTTGTTAATATCAGCGAAGGCGAAGTAGCAACGTGCACGATAAAAGCAATCGATGATCCGAGAAACACTGAACAAAATGCTGTACATAGAGCCACCAGATAACATTCTCTTCCAAAGACTTAGAATTGCTAGCCTCCATGGAAGGCAATTATTTGCTTGTGAAAATGAGTTCACAATTAGTAACCTTCCGTATACACTACAAAGGTTAATACATCGCTTCAAGATTATACATACAAAATCTCATTTGTCGGCTTGACTCCACTCATAAGTCGTAACCTCAAAGCTTGAAATTCGATTCAAACTCGATCGAGTACTTTTTTCTCTGTTCGAACTCAACTTAATAAGAATATAAAATCCAACATTCTTGAGTTTTATCACTCGACCGAATCTCACTTGGCTCGAAATACTCACACTCCCTTTTTTTCGTTTGTTTTTAGTATTAGATGGTCCAAGTGTAGTGATATCATTGAACGGGCTATGGAAGAGTGATGAATGCTTGAGACAAGTATGATGTCTCACAACTATGGCCTCATAAGGGACTGTCTTTTAATCTCAGACACCCATGTATCTGTTCCATAAAACTTTCAAGCCTCAGAAATTTTCTGATCCACATAATCCGCAGAGTGGCAAATGAAGAGCAAAATGATATAACCAATTCATCGTATCAAGCTAACAAAACAATTCTAGATATAAAAAAAGAAACACTCGATTAAGCTCGCAAGCCAATCGAATCAAATTTTGTTAGGCTCACACTCATCCCGACAAGTTACTCGAGCTCAAGGAATCGAGCCGATCTCGAGTGAGCAAAAAAGTCGAGCACGAGGAGCTTGACTCACACCCAGCAAAAATGTCGAGCACGAGGAGCTCGACTCACTTGCACCCCTTGGACTTTACCACAGTCCACGGATGCCGATGAATTCAACTTCGAAATTGGGGAAGATGGAGAAGCAGCTTCCCAGCTTTAGCCGGAAGTTCAACACACCCGCATGGACAAATACCTGAAAATCTATGCATGAAAGAACTAAGAAAACATACGAATCTGGATCATGAGTTCTTAATCATGAGAGATTCTGGCCTGTGTCTCCTCGTGATCAAAACTATGGCTTAACCTAATATATTTCGATTTGCTTTCGATCTCCGAAGAAATGACAGAAGCTGTAGATCACACAGTTCCAACAATGGACTTTCGCAATCGAAGGTTTTCTTCAGAATATTGTCGGCATGGGAAGGTGGCGTTCTTACACCAATCGTCATGGAATAATTCTGGTGTAGCCGACAGGCTAATAGGAAGGTGTTGCCGCCGGAGCACCAGCTTTGATGGTCTCTGTTGACTTTCCTCCTAGTTTGAATCAGATGTCAAACTGTGGAGGCCCATTCGTCACCATCGCAAAAACTCACACTTTCATTCTCAAATGGAACCGAAAATGAAAAGAAAATTTGAAAACTTTCGAGACTAAAGGAGCTTTGAAATTCTAGATATGTAGATCATCTTCATCAGAAGTCAAACTTCATCGTGTGGATCTGCGCCTATTTCTCATTGCATGGTCCGTGTACGCACAACAAAGCTCGCATCCATTTTCAACAAAACGCAGCGAGTGCCGGACGATTTGAAAGGGCATCATGTAGTTTTCTAATTTCTCTAGTGATCAAAAGTTCCGAAATTGCCTGTCTTCGCAAGCTTTTTCTTTAGTTGGTATAGGGATGGGGAGAGGCAATTAATGTCATAGATCTCCTCTAAATATTATCATAACGATCCTCCACCCATTAAAGAAAATTTGATTTGAGCAATAAGTGGTCCGCACCATCCGCAATCCGAAACCCCGAGGTTAGCGAGCCCATTACCGTAATCTCAGGGATTTGTTGAATCGAACTTTTGATCTCGTGAAAGATAAATATATCCTTTTACAACTAAACCAATCACTCTGATGGTCCTGCCTCTACATGCTAACTATTCTACGACAAGGGATCATCATAAAACTTTCTAGGAAAAGGGTTTTTTCGTGATTGGGTGTTAGTGATAGGACAAGAGTTTGATTATTGTCCCCTGGCATTGTTCGACCGACGTATAACCAAACCAACTAGTAATTAGGCACAGAGAAAGAAGCTTGAAAGCGGTGAGAAAAAGTGGGGGTTTTAAAGCTACAATAATAGCAAATCAGATATAAAAATTGGAGGCATTATTGCGATTTCCAATACGCGATCTGATCTGCTATACTTAGCTTTTAAACACTGACCAGTCGACCAGTTTAAAGGCAGACATCACTATTATCTATAGATTTTCTGTACTATCCTGCCAAGAATAAGACACGATCCATGTGATGAAAGGGGAGGGAAAGTAGCTCTCGACGCAGTCTCATTCTTAAGTAGTCGATAAGGTACCAACTCCAGATTTATTGCAAGGTACGGAACAATCTCTCTCTCTCTCTCTCATTCATATATACACCCTCTCATTGCTCTATTCATCGACTCAAAGAACTAAGATAGCTCTCCCATAATCCTCACATCACATGGCGAAGAGCAAGGTCCTTGTCGGCAGCAGCACCCGCTACATCGGGCGGAGGCTCGTGTAGGCAAGCCTGGACCAGGGCCACCCCCATGTACGTCCTCCAGCGGCCAGAGATCGGCCTTGACATCGAGAAGCTCCAAACGCTGCTGTCCTTCAAGAGGTGCGGTGCCCACCTCATCGAGGGCTCGTTCTCGGACCCAAGGAGCCTGGTCGACGACACAAGGCAGGTTGACGTCGTCATCTGTGCCATGTCGGGTGTCAACTTCCGGAGCCACGACATCCTGATGCAACTCAAGCTCGTGGAGGCCATCAAAGAAGCTGGAAATGTCAAGGTAATCAGCATTACATAAACTCATTTTTCCTCTTTTTTGAGAGGTCTTTATTGAGTAATTACTTTTCACTAAGTTCTTTCATTTGTTCTGCCCCACCATAAAGGAATTAGAGGGGTGGAGATGCGAGAGTTAGAGATAGGACAGACTCTTGCAATTAAATCAATGGAAAATCACTAGAGAAATAAATGAAGAACATTAAAGGACACCGGATATTTTTGTTCCAAGTGCCGGTACCTATCCCACGAGAAGAGCTAGCGGCAATGCCAGGAAATAATCCATTAATAATCGGAGAATCATAATTATAATTACCTACATACTCGAGTGTTTCTCACAACTATATTAAGTCAAGAGCAAACCCACAATATTTTATTACAATCTCTCATAGATAACTCAAAAAACTCACAGAGAGAAAATCTGATACTTTCCTTATTTGTTATGATGTATCTCTTTTCTCTCTCTTGTTTAATAGGAAAATTTTTTTACGAAACATCCTCAAATTAGGAAATATGCTCAAACTAGAGATATATTCTCAACAAAATGAATATTACACAAAAATCGAGTTGCCGGGATGGCCCGGTGAAGCAAAGCAATCTCAGGTCATTATGTTCATCGAATGAGGAAACCGAAGTCAAGAGTTGAAATGTTTAAAATATGTCTTGAATTTGAGCCCGATAAATAAATTTTCCTAATTCAAATAGGTTTTCTAATTTAAGTAAGTTTCCTAATTGGAGTTGGTTTCCTATTTCAATGGTTACCCAGAACAATTCAACATTATTTGTCAAGCATAATTTTCCAATGCCTCTATACATTAATTGCATTTATTGCCGATTAAGTTGAAAAGCTTCTTCCCAATGATCAAATTTTAAGGGCAAATATATGCTAACAAGAAGACATGATGATTAAGGTTACAATTATACAGATGTGTCCACCGACTTTTGCTTGGTGCAAGAGTTTCTTGCAAGCCAACCAAATAGTATTTTAATCAGACAATATCAGATTGATTAAATAATAATAATAATAATGTCAGAAATAGAAATGCGTGCCTTTTGAACCACCGCTATAGGTGGGTCGGTGCTCTATTCATTAGTTAAGACTTGGAGGGCTGCCATAAATTATTAATTAAGAATTGAATTTACATGTTCACGTGACTGATTGCGCCTTGTTTGTTGCTCTAACAATCTTTTGGATCCTTGTTTTATTCTATTTTTGTTTTGTCATGCTTTTGATCAAAGTTTTATTTAATTGTTCACCTTTTTTTAGTTTGAATTGCACGCTTCTAACTGATTGTTAGTCATGTTCTGAGATTGGCCAAAGCAGTGTCTTATGCTCTAATTATTATCATAAGGATTCCACACCCACTAAAAAATATTCGATTTGAGCAACAAATACTCCACACCATCCGTGATCTGAAACTCCGAGGTTAGCGAGCCCATTACTTTAGCCTCAAGGGTTCACTCACGACGTGAATTGAATTCATAATCTTGTGAAAGATAAATTTACCTTTTACAAGTAAGCCAATCACTCTGTTGGCCATGCCTCCGCATGCTAACTACTCTACAACAAGGAATCTTCATAGAACTTTCTAGGAAAAGGGTTTTTTTGTGATTGGGTATTACTATATAGGACAAGAGTTTGATTATTGTCCCCTGGTATTGTTCGATCGACGTATAACCAAACCAACTAGTAATTAGGCACAAAGAAAGAAGCATGAAAATGGTGAAAAAAAGTACGGGTTTTAGAGCTACAATGATAGCACATCAGATATAAAAATTGGCATTATTGCGATATCCAATACTTGATTTGATCTGCTATACTTAGCTTAAACACTGACCAGCCAACCAGTTTAAAGTGAGAAATCCTTATTATATATAGATTTTCTGTACAATCCTGCCAAATGTAAGACACGATCCATGTGATGAAAGGGGAGGGTAAAGAGCTCTTGACGCAGTCTTACCTTAAGTAGTTGATAAGGTACCAACTCCAGATTTATTGCAAGATGCGAAACATCTCTCTCTCTCTCTCTCTCTCTCTCTCTCTCTCTCTCTCTCTCTCTCTCTCTCTCACATATATATACACCCTCTCATTGCCCTATTCATATCTCAAAGAACTAAGACAGCTCTTCCATAGTCCTCACATCGCATGGCGAAGAGCAAGGTCCTCGTCATCGGCGCCACCGGCTACATCGGGCGGAGGCTCGTGCAGGCAAGCCTGGACCAGGGCCACCCCACGTACGTCCTCCAGCGGCCGGAGATCGGCCTCGACATCGAGAAGCTCCAGATGCTGCTGTCCTACAAGAGGCGCGGTGCCCACCTCATCGAAGGCTCGTTTTCGGACCCAAGGAGCCTGGTCGACGCCGTAAGGCAAGTCGACGTCGTCATCTGTGCCATGTCGGGCGTCCACTTCCGGAGCCACAACATCCTGATGCAACTCAAGCTCGTGGAGGCCATCAAAGAAGCCGGAAACGTCAAGGTAATCAGCGTTTACAAAAACTCATTTCTCCTCTTTTTTGAGCGGTCTTTGTTGAGTAATTACTATTCACTAAGTTCTTTCATTTGTTCGGTTCAAAGTTTTTCATAGGGTTTTAGTGAGTTTTATGCACTTCATATGATGCTCAATTTCAGAGCAAGCACTTGCATTAATGGAGTGCTTCGTAAAATAATCGATCTACTGTCTGTCTTTGGAGTAATCAATATAGATATTTGTATTATTTATATCTAAGTCTCGAAAAAATTCAAGATCTCACGTAACTACAAAAATAGCTATATATATATATATATATATATAAGACTAAACTACTTCAAGGTTTTATCAATAACATAACGCGGCTAGTGACGAAATTCATTTTTACATATAAATACTGAGATATTTATGGAAATAATTTTTTTTTCTTTACCTTTAGAATACAGAAAAAATGTAATTGTCTAATTTCAACTTAGGGAAAAAACCACCAAAAACCCCAAACTTTACCACTTGTGACACATTTACCCCGAACTTTTTTTTGTGTCATGAAAAACCCCAAACTATGCAACTTGTAACACATTTACCCCAATATACTATAGCCTAAGGCATTTTTAGTCTTTTTCCCTTTTCTATTTTTTTTTTTTTTTTTTTTTTTCGGGGGCTGCCCTCGCCGCGAGGTCTCCGGCGACCTCGCCGGCGAGGGCGAGGGACCCCGCCCAAGAGGCCCGCCTTCGCGGCGTCAGGCGAGGGACCTCCGCCACGCCGCCGAGCGAAGGCGCCCGCCCGCACCGAGCGGGCGAGGGAAAAAGACTAAAATGCCCTAGGTTACAGTATATTTGGGTAAATGTGTCACAAGTTACATAGTTTGGAGTTTTTCTTGGCACAAAAAAAAATTCAAGATAAATGTGTCACAAATGATAAAGTTGAGGATTTTTGGTGATTTTTTCCCTTCAACTTATAAAAGGACTTTCTTCTTCGACCAATGAAATAGGACTTTCTTCACTTATTTTTCTTTTTCTTTATTTTTTTCCTTATGCCCCATTCTTGACTTGGAGATCAATCCAACGTCCACATCGTAGAGAGGAAAATTTGTCGAGAAAGTTAATAGAGTAGGACAGCTGTTGCAGACTTTTTGAGCGTGATTCAAACACGAAAAATAGATTATATATCATCGGCGCAAAAAAAGACAGCTTTACACCATTGATCTTATTCAATTTTGATTTGAGGATTTCGAGCGTTCACTCTCACGATACCCATCAAATCACAAGCGAATAAGATGGCTCATGGAAAAGAAACTATATTAATACCATAATTAATTACCCGTTTGAATATCTATATGGTTGTGCAAATTATGATACATGTGCACACGTTTATGTGATTATTACAATTAGAGGGTCCAAACGGGTTTATAATTAATTATTCGCACTACTTATTAGTGCCAAACAAAAAAAATTATTTAGCTAATTCACTCAATTAAATTAGTCAAATATGAGGATTTGGATGATGAATTCATGATTTGATCATGGCGTCATCCATTTATCTAGATGATTCAAAACGGTTTAACATGAAGAGCAAAAGAAGAAAAACGATTTAGCTGCCATATAAATCATGTTAAAGTCAACCTTGACCAATTTGACCCTTCGCATTATCTGCTCGATCATTGGATATATTCAAAGATAGGGACATGGACGGCCACCAGTCCCCCACCTCAACAGGACGGAAAAATTATTCATAAAATTTTAAATTTATTACATTTTTATCAATTCAGTCTTAAACATTTTAATTATATCAATTGAATTTTAAATATTTTCACGTTCTGCTAATTGAGTCCATGTCAGCATCGGTCGGACGGCCTACGCCTATGTCAGCTCCGACTGGCCAAAATTAGTCGGATGAACTGAATTGACACAAACGCAAAATTTAGGATTGAATTGGAACAATTACAATATGTTTAAGACATTTTTAATAATTTTCCTCCGATTATGTGTAAAAGGTCTTTTCGACTGACAATAGACTAATGGCAAATATATGCTAACAAGAGACATGGTGATTAAGGTGAGAATGATACAGATATGCCCACTGACTTTTGTTTGGTGAAGAATTTCTTGTGACTGAACCAACAAGGCCAACCCAACAGTATTTTAAGCTAGACAATATCAAGTTGGTTATACAATAGTGTCAGAAAATCGATATGCGTGCCTTTTGAACTACTGCTATTGGTGGGAGGGCGGGTGCTCTACTTTATTAGTTATGAAATTTAATTAGAGGATAAAGAAGGGCTGCTACAGATTAATGATGGTCCTGCTTTTCGAAAAGAACTTGGGCCATGCATGTTCACTTTGACTGATTGCAACTTGTTAGCTGCTCAATCTAATAATCGTTCGGATCTTTGTAAGATCTAACAGTCTTCTTTTCTTGTCTTTTCCTGAATAAAAAAATTGCAGTTGTTGTGCCTTTAATTTTTGTTTAAGTTGCATGCTTCTAACTTTAGTTGTTAGGTGAAATTGAACCAAACTCCCCCGAACGTTGGGGGTAATACACGTTAATGATATTCGCTCTTTTTTTTTATTATCATAGTGTTCGTTAATTTGATTTTCTCGCATTTTATATATTTTCATTCTTTTATAGCAATTAAGGGTAAAATAGAGATTTCCTTCAGAAAATGAGATGAGAAATCCCTTTTACCGCACTGCACATGCAAATGGAAAAATTACTGAGGATTCACGGCTATAAAAAATGAAAGCCTGGGGGATATTGCGTAACAGTTGAAAATATAAGGGCGAACGTGTGCTAACCCAAAAGTTTATGGGCAGTTTTGCGTCATTTCCCCTAATTGTTAACTATTTAGTAAATTCGATTTGTACTTACAATTGCTTGAGGTAAATTTTCTATCCTTCTTATTTCTTCTGTTTCTTAATGGAACTTACTGTACTTTTTTTCTAGTTTATGTTTTCAGTATGGCTTTTCTTACATGATACAATATGTAATAAGATATTGCATCTGCAGAATCATGTTTAGGTGTAGACTCAACATTTTGTCCATTCATCTTATCCTTGCCATATTCTTTTTGGTTGGACTTGAACTGAACACTTGCTCTCCTGCAATTTGCAAAATGGAAAGTTCTAGTAGAGAGGTTATGATCATCGAACTTTATTTAACTTTTATAGATAGATAAGCAGATGATACATTCGGCTGCGTGAGTGCGTAATGCAATCGAAGTGTGTTGTGAAGAAATTCTTGCACTTCTACTATAAATGCATTTGTGTGTTAATGGTTATAGTATTGGTTTACCATGATAAATTTATGTGACACGTACTGCAATCGAAGTGTTTTTGTGAAGACATTCTTGCACTGATGTTTCTATTATAAATGCATTATGATAAACAAGAATTTCCTCCTAGATCTTGTGTTGATCTTCTAATAAGTTTCTCCATTTGAGCAGTGGACTCCGTAACTTACTCAATTTGTGCAATCAAATCATATAATTTCTTGAAATGGGGACATAAGGCTACTAAGAAAGTTACTTCTTTCCCGTCATTGTCATGATGTGTGCATCTCTTTCTCTATCGCCCAAGCTTCTTCTCTTTTTTTTTCAATTTTGCTAATGTATAGTTACGTCAACATCATGTTAAAGAATCGCCGCGCGACAAATACTAATGAGATTTTGAATGTATAGCGGTTCTTGCCATCGGAGTTTGGGATGGACCCGGCTCTCATGGGTCATGCACTTGAGCCGGGAAGGGTCACGTTCGATGAGAAAATGGAGGTGAGAAAAGCAATCGAGGAGGCTAAGATCCCCTTCACATATATCTCGGCAAACTGCTTTGCCGGTTATTTCGTGGGCAATCTCTCTCAACTAACGAGTCTCACTCCTCCAAAGGACACTGTATATCTCTATGGAGATGGCAACGTCAAAGGTATGTGAGGTGCATAAACCTACTTTAGGCATAATAGCAAGGGTTATATTTTCTTCCATCTCTAATTGGAGAAAAATCTTCTCTAACCATGTTTCTAATCAGTCGGTTACAACAGTAGGTTATTTGTATTTGTAACTCGCCAATCAAGAGGTTGGTTGGAGCGAGTTTTCTCCAACTAGAAATGGAGGAAAACATCTTCCCCATTTACGATAGAGAGATGATAACGTTTTCAATAAACTTACAAAAAGGAGTTGATTGAGTGGTAAAACAATCCAGACCTAAGCCTTAAGAAATCACAAGTCTCGTGTTCGATTTCTTCTTGGCACAACGACCCCCCCTAAACCCGACGTCGGTCCCAAATGCTACCATGTGAAATGATCAATTAATGTCGAAGTAGGTCATTCATCTATGTCACATTGGAGCATGAGGGAGCTATTACTTGTATTGTATATTCTGGATTCAATCTTTCAGCAATGTCTTGTTAGGTGAGATTGTGACGTACTGTAAATGTTTATTCCGTGTCAATAATGGGGTAAGAGCTTACCTAATCAACCATTATCCTCCTAGTCGTATCCCTGAACATCTTCATTAAATTAACTTGTACTTGATCAGAAGAGTGATCACTAGCTCCATATATCTAGTCTAAATCAGGACTTCATAAAATATTTAGACTGCTCGTAAAATCTATGAAGGTCGACAACCTTAGCTTGGTTGAGTCATTTAGCCAAGTTCAACACTTTTTTGTTCCCAATTAAATGACATGTATGAATTTCTGTTTGGTAGCTCATGGAAGTGTTTGATACTGCATTATTGTTGCAGCTGTTTTCCTTGATGAAGATGATATCGCGACATACACAATTAAAACGATCAATGATCCGAGAACACTGAACAAGACGGTGTACCTGAGGCCACCGGAGAACATTCTGTCCCAAAGGCAACTGGTGGAGATGTGGGAGAAGCTCAGTGGAAGGACCCTGGAGAAGAGAAGCATTTCTGCAGAAGACTTCCTTGCCTCCATGAAAGGTACTTACCTAATTTATTGTTTTGTTACATGACATGTACTTTTGTAGAATTTAGTGTTCGGATATCCCTAGGTTCACTGACTACTTAAACAGTAAAACATGTCATGCAATGGTGATCGTGTTTTTGAATGCTGACAGAGAACCCAATGAAAACCCTTTGTATATTTACCATCAAGAGTGACCTGCTACATAATTGCTTACTACATTAGCTTCAGATCTATGGTAGATCATATATATAGATAACACTGATCTATACTTTTGTTTCAGGATTGGATTATGCGCAGCAAGTGGGCGTGGGGCATTTCTACCACATATTCTATGAAGGCTGTTTGACAAACTTTGAAATTGGAGAAGAAGGAGAAGAAGCTTCCCAGCTTTATCCTGAAGTTCAATATACCCGCATGGATGAATACCTGAAGATTTATGCATGATCGTACTAAGAAGCATTTGAACCTATCAGAGAACACTCTCGCCTATCAGAGAACACTCTCGCTGTCAAAATAAAAATCTTTGAGTTTCTCTATCCCGATTCTAATTTCTATCATTTATGAGAATAAAAAATGGTTTAAGCCAAGATTTTCAATCGATGATTGTGTTCTTGTCGATCTCAGGAGAAAACAAACATCAGCTCAGAGTATTCCTACAATGATCCTAGCTAAGGTTTTCTGGGTTATTCAAAAGCTGTTTTTTGTAATTAGTGAAAGTAAGATAACTCAGGCACATGGAGATTTACAAGAAGAACAAGCTCGATCATTTCTCGTAACTAGATTTAAAATTTCAGGTACTGCCGATAGGCAATCTTTTTTTATAAGATACAACTCCCAGTCATTTGAGAATATTCCAGTTATAAAGAAGCAGCAATTCACGTATTCCTAGTTTGGCGTTGCAATAGTATTCTCACTATGCATTTGTTAGGAAGCCCTCCCTAGTCCTTCCCTACATATCGGCATCATGTTATAGTTAATCCGTTTCTAACATATATCAACATACCCGACACTTTCATCCATTCTATTTTGATTGGTTGGCTCATACAAGACACCCCTTGAAGCCTTTTCGTAGGGTAGTTTCATCGAGGTTCCTCCCAATGAAGACAAGCTTGTTTATTCTCTTCTCATCAGGACCCCATACTTTTCCCGGACAGCCATCCAATGTTGAATGGACCCCCTGAAAGGGAGAGGCAGTTTTTTAAATAAAATAAGATGAGGATTTAAACCAAAATGGCTAGAAAGAAGTTCGTAAACACAAATAGTGGAACCTGGAATACATATCGTTCCTCACAACCAGTCACAGACAGTACACCCTTCATTCTGTACAAGTCCTCCCCTTTTTCTTCAATCAGTCTGTCTAACCAATCATCAACCTAATCCATCGACATTGCATATGAGAGAAAAGTTTAAACATATATCATCAGGTTGAGTAAAAGCTAACTGCAAGTGCTAGAATGCAAACAACATATGGGACACAAATTCCCACGCACATTACTAGCCCAGTGACAGATATAGAGACTTATGCAAATTCCAAGGCCTCGTCATAAACCAAGAGTATTAAGGTTCTATCTCAAGAATGATAAGGAAACATGCCTTGTCAACCTTTCTAAGACCACTGGTCATTAATTGATTTGTTCACATATTTAAGCACCAACCATTAGATGTAAAAGTACATTCTTAGCTTTACGGGTACACCCACACTTTACTTGAACGACAAATGATAAAGTGTGAAAGTGCTTGCATAAGCCAAGTTGCCAATGTTCATTCAACCCAACAAGAAATAGTGTAGGTGAGATGCTTATTAGGCCTCCGAAACTCTTCATTTTGTCTTCATAGATAGTAAAAGTGCACAAATAGGAAACATAGGCTACATAGATGAGGAAGAGCTGAAGTATAAACTTAAATTTATACCCGACCCCAAGGCAAAAACTTTCAAAACAATTATCTCCCTTGTCTGCTCATGATGTTTCTCCTTCAGTTCTCTGCTTTTGCTAGGTTTGACGACCACACTAGAACTGATCTACCAAGGAATTTTAAAAGCATTGCGCAGGGGCTAAACTAGTGAACACAGATATCAATAGCAGTCACGCAAAAAAAAAATTCCTTGGTACAAAATGTCAAGAAAATTCATCAGAAAACAATATCATCAGGCATTCTTAATGGAGCTAGCAAGCCTACTGCACCCACTGCTTGCTTTTCGCTGCCAAATGGCGATTGGCTGGGCTGGCCCATCAGATCAAGGTGACAGAATACGAAGTTATGGCCCTCTGTACCGTAACAGATGCGCTGACCAGACTGCACTACACTCATGGCACCCGTAGTTACAAGAAGCTTAGGAGCAGTCCATAGACTCTCAAAGTGAATGACTAAACAAATTCATACCTTCATATCTTATAGTGAAACTCGTGTCACTTATATTATTATTATATTATTACTCCTTGATGGGAGCAATTTCACAAATAGAATACAAGAAGATGCAACAGTGCATGCATATATTTCCCGTGGACTTATAAATGCAAGAGGAGCAAGAGAGGGTCTCAGATGACTATTTACATGCACAAACACGAGACTTCCGCAAACAGTTGCTGGCCCCACCATATCATTCACTTTTCCATAATTAAAGCCTCCAGGGTGAATAAACTAACACCCGAGCAGTACATCATTCTACCGGGGAACTAGTTGAACCAAAAGACAGCACATAACCCCCATATGTAATCGAAATCAAAACACAAAGATCTAAAACAGCTAACAGAATTTTTACCTCATCGACATCCAGTGTACCCTCAGAAACAATACTGACGCTGGAAACTGCAGAATCATGCACATGATCATGATGATGCCCTTTGTGCTCTCCTGCATTATCTACTCATGCTGGGAAATTCAGTCATCACAGGTAACAAAACTACATAGAACTAATCGCAATACAAGAAGACAAAAGCAAAAGAAGTTTTGTACACATTACCATGCCCATGTTGCTGAGCATTACAGGATGAGCCCTCTCCATGAACTTCAGAATCGATTCTGCAGAGGCAACCGACAGTTTAGAACATGACACCATGCTGTGCAGCAAAAATTCCATTTAATTTGCAACCAGTCAAATATATATACTGTTTCCTAAATTGAAGAAAAAGTTACCTGTCCAGATCATAACCTCCCACTCCCAAAACAAAATCCATGTCAACACATCCATTTTTAGCTAGCTTGATTTGTGCCATCCCATTGATGTGCTGGAAAGTGCCAGTGCAGACATAATTAGAAGACAATAAACAAAGATAAAGCCCATTCAAACTTTTCTAAGAAAACATAACACACTATGAGCAACTCTATGATCCTCGAGGCACACACTAGTGCCGGAGAAGTTATAGCTTACAACTTGATCAATTTCCACAAATCTTCAGAAATTTAGGTTCCATGTCACGGTAACTATAGCTGATCAACTGTTGGTATCACCCCAAAACAGATCTAATTTGCCTCAAAGAATCTTGCACTAGTACACCTATCAATATGTTATCCTTCCTCACAGTGTCTTTGGGGTGACTTATCCATTTAATTGCACTTTTGGTTTTAATATTCGGGAGAACACTCGAAATCTTCAAAAGGAGATTGACTATGGACATCCAAAGTCAGTTGACATCATGTAAATTTTATTTAATTTTCAGAAAGTTAAAATTACTTCTTTTTTTGTTCTAGCAGGGATTTCATAAAGTATTTTTTGCCTTTTGATCAATACCCTTAGTCATGAGACAGTACTGATTATCCACTTTATCCAATTAGCTTAGCCAACGAAAAGTCCAGCTAACAAGAATATGGAGCAAAGTTAAAAATGACCTCTGTCCACAAACTCCTATTGGGAAGACCCAGTGCAACTTTCATTGTGGTGGGAAAGTGAAAGACAAAAATGATACTTCAAATAACCCATCTCCAATTGGCTGCCAAATGCTATTCGGAGTTAAAACAGATGGAAAGAGTCTTAATGTGGTCACTACTCATTTGAATTCGAATTATAGGAAAATGTTAATGCAAGCTTCGGCCATTAAATATGATAACAGGTACCAACTTATGGTCTGGGAGACACATGTTTATCATGTGTTCTAACCAACTCCAGAGTAAGTTGGGGTATGTTCACATCATCATTCTAGCTTAAGAGGTTCATAAAGAGACTGCTTATCCAATCGCAGCCCACCCCCTTTCTTCTCGATTGTCCTTGAAGAAAGGAGCTTAAAGAATATTAACGCCTACTGCAAAAGCATACCTTGATCCTTTTAGTCAATATATCCAGCTCAGCTTCAGTTGCCAGGTCAATCTACCAATATATAAAGAAAGACATCTTAAGAGATTAAAAATGACAACCCCCAGGCCCCAATTAAAAAGAAAAAATTGGAAGTGTAAATGAGAAGAATATCCGCAAGCATTAGTCAACCTTGTTTATTATAATACGGTCAGCGTAAGCAATTTGTTCGACCGCTTCATTCACAACAAATCTCGGTTTCACTTCATTTAAGTGCTTCATAGCATGCTTGGAGTCAACCAAGGTAACAACACCATCCAATTTCACATATCTTGAAACCAATTCATCAGAACAAAATGTGTCAATAACAGGACCTGGCTTAGCAAGGCCTGCAAGAGAATTTCATAATTAACACATAAGTGATAAAAAAAAAATTGGGTTTAAATGTATTATAATCATAATATCAAGACCACAGAATCAATTGAAAACATACAAATATAGCATATATAAATGCAGCCCTTGAGAATATGAGATGAGCAAACACAAAATTCAGCAAGGGCAATAGCTGTCCATTAGAAAGAATACAAATTATGTGTAAGCGTGAGTTACCAGTGGTTTCAATCACAATATGATCAAATTTGTCCCTTTTCTTCTTAACCAACTCCAGCAACATCTTCACCAAGTCTCCACGTACAGTACAGCATAAGCACCCGTTGTTAACCATTATAATTTCCTCAGACGCGGAAGCGTGACTTGCAACCAACGAACCATCAATATCCACCTCACCAAACTGAAAAGTCGGAGAGTTAAAACAACCAATGAGTATCTGCATCATCGATTCTAATTGCTTAAGCGTTAAACTATAGCTGTTGAATGGCACTGCACACCCCAACCAGACAGCCACAATCTCCATTAAGCACATAGGTATCAGCAACATGAGAAAGAGCCCTCTTTTAAACAAACTTGCAACAGCCACGAGAGACCACGAAAACTACAAGGAAATTAATAACCTTCAAATTCAGTATTCTGCAAAAATAGACATATATACCTGAAGCAGAAGCAGTACACAAGTTACATAATTTCATACATGATGTGAACTGGGTTACCTCATTTTCAATGACAGCAATCCGCTTGCCATGTTGAGCAGTCAGGATATGGTTGAGCAGAGTCGTCTGCACCACAAACCATCTCAACTCAGAACTACCACAACAGCACACCATCGATTACAACAATTCGTTAAGTCAACAAAAGAGAAAAAAGATGCCAACCTTCCCGGAGCCGAGGAAGCCGGTGATCACCGTGGCGGGCACGCGGTCGTCGAGACCGAGGGCGGCCGCCTCGGCTTCTTCGATCCAGTAGCCCGGCTCGGAGACGAAGCTCCTAACGTCCCGGCGACGAGAAATGAGCGGGTGGAGGCTTCGGACGAATTGGAAAGCGGGAGAAGAAGGGTCGGTGCAGCGTGGTCGGAGATGGGGATAGAGGTTGCTGCCCGATGCCGCCCTGGATATCAAGAACCTGAGCGCCGCCATTCAAGGAGCTTCGCCGGAGGAATACGGCGGCGGTCGTTGCCGCCCGCGGTGGCGACGGCGACGGCGACGGCGACGGCGAGAAGGTTTTGGGGGTGAAGAAGCAAGGTGGATAAACCCTTGTCTTGTCGGAGGGTTTAAGAGGGAGGAAGAAGAAGGAAGTCAGATGGACTCGGCCGAGCTCGACCGATAATGGGCCTGATGATGAACAAGAACTGAATGCTGAGATTTTACATTTCTCGAGATCTAAGGGTCCGAACGAACAAGACGACATTTTTACGTGGGCTTTATTCTAAGCGAGCGATGTGACGGTCAAATTCAATCAATGCTGCTCCGACCCAAAAAAAAAATCATCGCACCGCTGCAAAGATTCTATGGAAATTCGTGGTTTTTAGTTGAACCCGATTCAGATAGGGATGAGCATGGTTTTAGGGTAAAACCTGAAACTTAAAAACCTGATCGGTGGGAATCTGTAGGTTCCAGATTTCAAGAAATATGGGGTAGGTTCCATGTTTCAAGGTATGTAGAACCTATTTCGACGGATAGATTCTAGGCTCTAGGTAGGTGGAACCTAGAACCTGAAACCTGAAACCTTAAACAAGTATTTTGTATTTTTTTCTTTGTCTATGTCTTCGCGTGATCATGCGGTGTTCTATGGCGTTAGCTGATGAGTGCATAATCTGGAACCACTAGTCTGAACTTTCAATTTTTGACTTATTAATGTTTCATATCCTTCGTATGCCTAAATCTAAGTTGTAGTAAGTGGATTATAGCAGCAAGTTGTGGTCATTGAAAATAATGATTCACTGCAATTATTCAATTAATAATACAGGTGGAACCATGTAAACTTTGGTTGGAGTGAGCATGGTTCCAAGGTAAAACCTAGAACCTAAGAACCTTATCGATGGGAGCTATTGGATCCAGGTTCCAAGGTATGCAGGGTATGTTCCAAATTCCAAAATTTTGCAAACTTGTTTCGACGGGTAGGTTTTAGGTTTTAGGTAGGTGAAACCTGGAACTTGGAACCTTAAACCTTAAACAAGTTTTTTTGTATTTTTTCTTGGTCTATGTCTTCGTGTGATCCTACGATGTTCCTTGGTGTTAAACAATGTTCCATGGCATTAGATAATAAGTGTATAATCTACAACCACTAGTTTGAGCTTTCATTTTATGACTTGTTAATGTTTCATATTTTTCATGTGTCTAAATATAAGTTGGAGTTAGTGAATCTTAGCAACAAGTGGTGGTCATTAAATATGATGATTCACTACAATTGTTCAATTAATAATACAAGTGAAACTTGGGTAGACCCCGGAATCGATCCTAAAACCTATGACAAGGTAGGTTCCACATTTCAACGAGTAGGTTCCAGGTTCCAAAAAATAAATAACGGTACCCGAGTTCAAGTAGGTTCTAACCTATAAGTATGTATCCTAAGTTTTAGGTTCCAAAAGGAACCAACCATGGACTTACATGATAGGTTCCGGAAGAATGAGGAGATTTTAGGTTCAAAAATAAACCAATTCCTATAAATAGGTTCTAGATTTCGGGTGGAACCTATACGGAACCTAAGCCGCTCACCCCTAGATTTGGGTACCTCGAATTCTTGACAATTGCATCTAGTAGTTTTACAGTGCGTTTGATTTAACTCTGGTGAAATGCAAGCATTTTCCCAAGAATCCTTTGATGAGAGAGGATTTGCTAAAAGCAAATAACTTTTGGTTGATGTATATTTTGTGTAAAGCAACTTTGAAATAAAAATAAAAAAAAAAGGGAGGGGCAAGCATTGGGAAAAATCGCCAAAGAAGGAATGGAGTTTGGGCAACCTTCGGTGGCGACCGTAGGCAACAATCGACGGCGGCCAAAGGCAACCGTCAGCCAGGCAAGCGTTGACCGGTGACTCTCATCACCGCAGATCTCGTTGTAACCCTCGTCGAAGCTTAGTAAAAGCACCAAGCAATGGAGGTCGATGAAGCTCAGCGAAGCCCAGGTGAGCCCCTGTCAATGAGGTCGCGACCCCAGGTGAGGGCCACTGAGGTCGAGGGACTTTGAGGAACGAGACGCTGGGGTATTCGACCTTTAATGGTTGAGCTTCCCAGATCTTACCTTCAACGGTCGGCGCAAACCCTAGGTGAGGGCTGCCTGAGGTCGTGCGACCTACAGCGAGGGCCGCGCGACCCAATCGAACCCTTGCGGAGGTTGCTTGACCCTAGCCGACCCTTCGCCAGCGTCCGTTTAGCTCCTCCACCTCTGCGAACTCCAAATCCGCAAAAGAAGATGAACAGTCGCGAGGGTAAAACCGGAATATGAAATTATTTGAAGGGGTAATTTAGGAAGAAAAAAAATATCATTTATCTTTGGGACCTACCTTTCGAAAATGCTAAAAGCCTTAGGCAAGTCCCCCACCTGTTTTAGGCTTTTCAGCTTTGCCAATGGTGGCATTTTCCCAAGACCTAAAATATTTTTGTCAAACACCTCAATATTTTCTCAATGGACGTTGGAGGCCCAAAAACCCTTGGAAAAGGTGAACCAAACGAACCCCTAATCTATACCGTAGCTAACTAAAGAACAAGTCATTTCCCCATGCCTGATCGAGTGGTTTTGGTAGTTCTGGTCTCCGTCGGCAGAAGACGGGACGTGCTTGCTCGCTCCAGGCGCAACGAACCTAACTGCACATCCGTCCTTACATGACGCCCACGTGGATCTCACGTCATCTAACGGTAGATACGAGAGCCGGGCTCACGTGCGCTCAGAGCATGCAGAGATTTCTTCCCGTTGAAGAGGGCCACCTCGAGGTTTTGATTGCAGCTGAAATTTTGACTGGACAAATGATGAAGCGAAGTACTGGTGTCTCCGCTCGAACGGACATGTGAAGGTGGAGAAACGACCAGAAAAGATGGGAATATGGAAGGCAAGATGGAGTGAATTGACAAGAGCATCATGGGGCGCCAAAAGAACGAAAAGAAGAAAGAGAAAATTATAGCCTCGACTGCACATAAACTGAGGATGTAAAAGCAACCATCCACTCTGCAAATTTCATCTGTTCTTCAAGTTCACGACCGTGAAAATGGGTGACCCGAGTATTTCCATCTCAAGAGGATGTCTTATCAGTATCTACCAAAAGCTGTCGTTAGATTTATTTAGAGCACAATCTCAATAATTCCACGGACTGCTTCAAAGATGATTCGGATTCCTGAGTGCGCCCCCTGTTTTCAAAATGACAGCGAGTAGTACCTATAGCAATGTTCATCCACTCACTTGGTTTGGATCAACGATGAGATAAAGAACTTCAAGTGGCCAACATTATCTTCCTTTACTGAGAAAAAACGTCGCTAAGGAAACAGCAAGCAAAAGCCTGATGACAACACACATTGACAATGATACGAGAAACCCACTCCCTCAGCAGGAATTTGGCCAAAAAGACAGCAGGAAAATTCCCTTTGTCGCCCCCTTTCGATTGGCAAGAATCAGAGGCTCCATTACAACGAAATCAGCTGTCTTTTGGTATCAAAAGCGGCTTTACTGAGAAAAATGATGCACCAACGCATGATTTAGAAGATGGGTCTGCATCAGCCCGTACCGAAGGAAGAATCAAGAAGTTTGAAGCACACTCCCCAGTTCACCAAACCCTGAATTTTAGAAACCAAAATGAGTTCCCAAAGTGTCTATAGGTAAAAGCAAACCCCTCAGAAGTGCTAGGAAGAACTTCTTGATGAACAGAAAGAATCTTATAAATTCCAACTCAAATCACTTACAAAAGCACAATCACCCATCACCACAAATTAAGTATTGCCAAACTACCATAAAAAAGCTCCTCTACACAACCCTAACCAAGTACATGCACAAGTTCCACCATTAAATTTGACAGGATGATAAAACCGTTTCCAGCATCGTTACACAAACTCCTATGTCTTCCAAGGTAGCTCTATCATGAAGGGGGAGAGAGAGAAACAGTTAGTAGCAATTCCTGGTTTCTACGGTGCTTCCAAATGCAGCGGGTTCTTCATCATACCGCGCCTCGGCGAACCTTTCTCGTCGTCTTCCCTCACATTGCCTGCAGCTAGGGCCCCACCAAGATCGCTTACATTCCCGAAAACGAACATCACTGCCCCGAGAATAGCGCAAACGAAGGCGATACCGAAAGAAGTGCTCACGCTCCGCGGGACGACCGACGCAATGCCAAAGCCCGCGCAGGTTCCCAACACCTTCACCCACGAATACCACACGGAGAAAGCACCTTCCTTTCCAGATGGCGCACAGTCTAACACCAAAACCCTACCATAAGCATACAAGATTCCCGCTGCCGTGCTCTGCAAAGTCGCGAAGAAAATCACATGTCCCTTGCTCCAAGTTTTACTACGATAGTAGAATCCAACCCCGCAAGTGATCATCGAGAGAAGGAAGCCCAGTAGCTGCATTTTCACTGCATTTGCCTTGATGAGGTTCTGAAGTGGGTGCAGCAGCGGCAAAGACACCAGAGGGAAGAGGAAATAAGTCAACCAGAAATACAGTACAAACACAGGTTTCAGGCACAATTCCCCGACTAAAAAGAGCACCGCCCCAGTGAAGATGCACATTGTTGTGAACGATGAGAGGAAGACGCCGACAAGGCTTCCCACAGCATGAGGGTAGCTAAAGATGGAGATAATATAGGTAAATGGTGGAGGAGGGGAGTCGGGACCAGGCCTATATGCCACGATTACGTAGAGAATGCCGAGAAGCCAAAAGAGGCCACCGAAGATCGAAACCACCCACAAGCTGATAAATCTATCTTTCTGATCAAGCATGTGATAAGAGAATGCAGAAATTAATGCAGCACCAAAGCAGCCAGCTGCCGTGGCGTAAAGCGAGAGCCACCCCGAGACAGATCTCCGGGCTTGGAATTGGGTCTTCTTGAGAACAGGGCCAGTGAAACCACGGATCATGAGGCCAAGGTTGCGGGTGTGGGCAGCCGAGGCCACCAGACTGGCAGCCACGATCACCACAATATAAGGCAGAAAAATCCAAGGGGTGCGGAAGAATCCTGCCGGAAGACAGAAGATGGCTCCGACGACCGTGGCGGCTCCGGCAATTAGCTGTTGGTATTGCCCATGGTCAAGGCGCATGGAGACAAAGTTCAACAAAGGCGCAGCCAAAACCAAACCTATGAACCAACAAACCGCAACCCATTCTAGAGGGGAAATATTAGCCTCGTTCATTGACCGGTGCGTCAGCCCTACAAACCTGGAGATTAATCCAATCAAGAAATAAGTGTCTCATGCTATAGGCAAATGAAACATCCATTAACAAGCCAGTGCTTCTAAGAATTGCAAAACATAATTAGGTCATGCATCCAAGAATTGCAAGATTGAATTAGGTCATGCAAGTTGGATAGCTTTCAAAGATCATTTCTAGTCATAGTCTCCTGTTCAAATGCAATGAACCGGAACAATGTACTAGATCATCCAAGATACTCATTACAATTCGATTTTGGTCAGCTTATACTTGTAAGAGGGAGATGGTAAGTCTAGGCTTCTTCCAGTTCATATAAACAATACAACCATTTACGTAGTCTCGGTCTAATATCCCAACAATACTTTCTTAACCCAGCCACTGCGGTTAAGGGTCCGAAAATCGGAGAATTTGTACCGAGCAACGAGCACAACGTATCGCCCTATGAAACATATGATTAATTCAAATGGCTCTCATTCCCTAAGGACACACACACACACCCTAGGAAACATTTCCAAAGGGCCTCTGTGTAATTTCACAAAACAATGGTCTTTTCTTTTCTTTTCTTTTCCCCAAACAGTCCGACCCTTCAAAGTCCACCTCTTTTTCAAAGCATGGTCCCCCAAATAGATAGGTCTCCGTCCCTTCCCCTCCTCAGTCGTTCAAATTTTGAACGCATCTCAGGATCTTGTGTGCGTGTCGTTGTTGCTGTTGTTGGTTCACATCAAATATAAAAAAGTTCGCCCCCAGGCAAAAGCGGTCCCCACCCCCAAATCCTATTGGCCTCTCCTGTCGGTTTCACAATTAAAGCAGAGCTGTTTATCCAAACATTATTCAACACCCTCACTCATTTTTCTTCCCGTCCTTTCGGCGCACCCTTTTCTTCGTTTTACCCCCCCAAAAAGTTCGAATTTTCAACCGTGCCACCTTCAACCACAAACCAAACACCATTAAAGAACCAACGGTAACTTGAGCTTCCCGAGGCCATTGAATAGAGCCAAAAACTCTGTAAAGATTAACCCTTTTAAATATATAATTATACAGACACATGATTATAGCCTGGTTTTGTGGCTGTGGACGTTTCCAAGGTTATAAAGTAATGAACTTGTGCGTAAATATAATAGTGTCAACAAGCCGACAAAAGAAAAAAGGGCCTTCCCAACACTTGGTTTGTCGGGACTCTCTTAGCAAGACCCATCATTTTAGCAGAGATTTTTTTGGACATTGTACTAGCTGATCTTCATCTGCTTGAGCACTCAAACCCCCCATGTGAGAGCGACCAAGCCCGTGATCTTTTACGTAGCTCTGCGCAGCTTCCATGTCTTTTTTTTCCCCTTTTATTTGTTCATTTTCCCCCCTTATTTCACAGTGCAAGCTCAAATTCTCATGCTCACGCTTTGTTTGGGAACGAGGGAGGAGGGACAGTGAGGAGAGCAAAAACGAGAACAAGCGGCTTCGCGAGGTGGTCGGGTTCTTGCTCAAGAACTCTAACAAGAAAAAGAAGGGAAAAAAAAGAACGTTTCGAACGTTTTGTGTGAGTTCATCACTCTGTTCTTGACACTACGACACATAATTTTCACGCAAAAATTTAACAGCAACAGGCAAGACATCGTGACAAAGAAACACTTTGAAAACCTTAGACGTAGAAGAAGAGCAAGAAGCTGAAAGAGGAAAGAAGCACTCACAGTTTCATCTCCTTCTCTCGACAGGCCAAGCCCTTGTGGCTCTTGGTCCAGCCCTGGGACGGCTCCGGCGGGGCGCCGACGACCTGACTGATGATGAGCGGGAACACTATGGGGATGAGCGCCGTCTCGACGAAGTAGGTGCAGAAGCCGTACAGGTGCCACCCCCACACCTCCACCCTCGACGGCTTCTCCTCCATGGCGTCGTACGCCCCGTACCCGCCCCCCCTCGCCCTCTCTATCTGCACCCCGACCCCGCCGCCCCCTCCGACGCCGCCGCCGCCGCCACCGCGGGCGTCCGTAGTGGCCAGCACCTTCCCGATCGACGTGCCCCCAGAAGACCCCCGGCTGTTCCCGCCGTCAGCGGTCGTGTCCGCCATATCCCCCTCAAGCTCAAGCTCAAGCTCAAGCTCAAGCTCGTACCTTTCCGAGCAGAGAGGCCAACTGGGTAGCAGCGAGCACACGGTGGCGCGACGAAATTACCGAGATACCCTCGACGGGAGAAACCCTAGAGAGAAGGCAGGAGGAAGAGAGGAATGAAGGTTGGAAGGTGGGTTTTCTAGAGAGAGAGTGAGAGAGTGTATAAATGAGAGAGAGAGGGGAAGGTGGTAAAGTGGGAATAATGATTTTGTTGAAGGGGTGAGGGAGGGGGAGAGAGAGAGAGAGAGAAAAAAAAAAAAGGGGCGTGCGGAACAGCTGGTTCTTGCGAGACTATCGAGAGACAGAGAGAGAGAGAGAGAGAGACAGAGAGATTGTGTGTGTGTTTGTGTTAGAGAGAGACCTTGCTTGGTTTGATCATAAACAAAAAGAGCTTTAACATTGTTTTAGGGGCGTGGAAGGCATAAACAAAAGGAGGGGGAAGGGGAGGGCGCCATTAACGAGGCAGGTGTCTTTATGCCCTAAAAAGCTACCATGGTAGAGGGGGGGCCCTTTCGTGCTCAAATGGTCTCCCTCCCTGTTCCCCCCCCCCCCCCCCTCTCTCTCTCTCTGCTTTGCTCTGTTTCTCTCTCTACTGCGAGGGGCAACTGTTCCTGCGTACTGCGTACTGGGGTAAGGGGGGGGAAGGCGGGCACGTACTGCGTGCGAGCCAGTCTTTGCAGGGTTTAATAAATTGGTGGTAAAAGGCAGTTGTGGAGGGTTGCATGTGCCTTTCTAACTCAAAGTATTTTGTGTACCAATTGCGCGGTTTTAGATTATATCATGAATCGTCGATTCGAGTAGGAGGTACTAAGATGAAATCGAACCCGATGCCACACGAATCGGGTCGGGTTTCTGTAGATCCCCCGGGGTCGAATTCTCGAGGATGAGCCACCGTACCATAAAAGGATAGGATTCGATGGGATGTTGAAATTCGTTAAAGGGTTTGTATGGTACGGCATTTTGTAAAGAAAATATGATGGATTGCGTTACGGTACGACATTTTATGATGAATCAATCTTTCGAGAGTCGATAGAAAAAACCTCCATAGGAATCGAACTAGCTCATAATTATATTAAAAATTAGATGATTTTTGAAATTGTCTTGATTTGACGAGTTTTGTGTGTTAATGCAAGATTAAGCATTTAACCATAGACAGAATTACAATGACGAGATATAATTGACAGTTCAATAACGAGTTAATCACAATGCTTACGGGACTTGAATAAACTAATTTTAACCCCCTTGAAGGGACAGCTATTTAGCTATTGGTCATCATTTAAGAAGCGAAATATTTCAAGTTCGATGCTGACCAACATCAGTCCTTGAGCTCATTCTATGAGTCATGCACTTACAACCCTACAGTTAAATGATGCGTCCAGTGTGAAAGTCCGGTGCTTAATAAGCATCTTGCTATTGCCAATTGACTTTGAATGGAATCGCTATCGATAATATATTAATGAAACGCAATCGATTGTGTTTTTGAAACATGAAAACTTTGTTTTCAATTGGTTCCTCGAGCCATTGTTGGACAATAGTCATGCTTTTCTCCATCGTTGAATGTCGCTATGTCTACGAGTAGTGGACCATTAATAGGGAGAAAATCCACATTTAATTTTAGTTTAAGTATGAACATAAGTAATGTCCATATCCTATGATCAATCAACCATGGGCTTCTCTTGGATCTTTGGTGTTTGGTTAAGAGGTATCTCATTAAGGAAAAAGGAAGTGAAACTCTTTCAGGGACCTCTGCGGCCTATCCTGATCCTACCGAACGGGTTTCACGAATACGTTTCTTATTTTTAATGTGTCGGTGCCTGCATGCCCTACACCTCCAATACCTTTCAAATCTTTTCTTTTCTGGAGAGCGGGAAGACCCTCTTATTTCTTTACATTTTAAGGATTTCGAGAGGTCCAAAAAGGGCCGAGACCAAGGAGTTTAAATCCTATACATGGATGGAGGGCAAATATAAGTCATATGACATTGTGCAATCTATATTTTGAGGGTGTTTGGTTCAGCTTTGGGAAGGGGCTTTGAGCCTCGAAAGCCCCTTCCCAAAATGCTGATGTGTTTGGTTCAGCATTTGGCCTAGCATTGGCCAAATGCTAGCATTTGGCGAATGCTACTGTTCACATATTTTTTTTGGGTTGAATCTATTCTTCACCAGGCAGCCGCCGAGGGTGGCCGGCGAGGGTGGCCGGCGAGGGAGAGCGGCCGGCGAGGTCGCCTGGGGTCGGGCGAAGTGCATTTGCAAAAAAAAATTCACCAAACACTATATTTTGGCCAAAGTAGCTTTACAAAATATTTTTACCAAACACCATTACATTTGCCCAATGGGCTTTCACTCAAAGGTATTTGTATTTTCCCAAGTAGCATTTTCAAAATTGAACCAAATAGGTCCTTTGTGTGTGTGTGTGTGTGTGTGTGTGTGTGTGTGTGTGTGTTGAGGAGACTAGAACGAAAAGGGAGGAGAGGGAGAGAGAGATGGAGAATTTTGAAAGTACAGTGGAATAGTCAATATGTCATGGATTAAAATTACATCTTTGGCAGTATTATAACGGGGGAGGAGTATTCCTGAAATCACGTTTTTTGTAATGATGGGAGCGAAACACAGTGGAATGATGATGAGCAGCATGCTTTTGCTCCCGCTTCAGAAGAAAAAACTATACTGCATGGGGGGGGGGGGCATTCCGCCAGCCCTAAAGTTGGGCCGACTGTTCTGTACAAACTCATCATGCCCATTATCATTACGAGCTACAAAGCTAGAGGTACTATGCTGAAACATGCAACGGTCTTGTTAACGACTACCTCCTAACGACACTTAACGACGACTTTCGTTTAGAGAATTAGGGACATGGTTGCTTTAAAATTTCATCTAATTGCGAAGACGTACTTCTCTTTCGCTATGTTGGTAGCTTTGAAAACCTAATTCATGCTCGATCGTCGAGTATGTGTAGACGCTTCTTTAACAAGATTCATTTGCGATCCAATACGACATGAGAAGCAAAGAATATTGATGACTTGGTACTTACACAACGGACATCTTTGAGGTGTCCGAACGCACTTCATTCGTTTGGCTCGTCATGTTACTAATTACGGACAGTTTCCATTCTTTTGTCGCTACGAAGCTATCTAGATTTTTGCCCACGCTGTATCTAGTTGGCAAGGTTCTTGAGCTAATTCATGTGTTTATTTATCATCCAAGGAAAAAACATAAGGGTCGGTGCCATTAAAAATCACAAAATGGTACATTATGATGCATTTGCCCCAAGTCTCGCGAAAAATTTCAAATTAGTACGTCATGACATATTTGTCTAAAACTAATTTTCGCCTCACAAAAAAATTTCAAACCGGTATTCCCATGACACTTTACCCCAAGCTGCTATCCTGAAACCAAATTTATGCTCCACTAGTTCTAGGGTAGCAGTTCAGGCTTTTCGTGAGATGGAAATTAGTTTTGGGTAGGGAAAATTGTCCAAAAAGTCTTAAACCTATTGCACTTTTGCCAATTTAATCATAAATCTTTTAAGTTTGCCAATTCAGTCATAAAACTTTTCACTTCTTGCCAACTGAGTCTATCCGGCCAATTTTGGCCGGTTGGCGACCAACCAGAGGGAAGAAGGCAGGAAAAAAAGAAAAAAATATTACAAAATTACCACATCAGCGTTGGCCGGACAGTCGGCGGCCACGTCAGTGCCGACCGGCCAAAATTGGCCGAATTGACTCAATTGGTAAAAAATGAAAAGGTTTAGAACTGAATTGGCAAAAATGTAATAGGTTTATAACTTTTTGAACAATTTTCCCGTTTTTGGTAAATGTGTCATAGGAGTACTAGTTTGAAATTTTTTGTGAGACGAAAACTAATTTTGAGTAAATGTATCATGGAGGTATCGATTTAGGATTATTAATAACATTGATCCTTTAAAAAAGTCCGTTTTGTTTGGAATCCTAATGTCAACAAAGGAAAGGCAATAATTATCGAGAGCATTATCGGAGAAAATTGTAATTTCGCACCATTAATCATTCACTTAACCCACTTTTTTCCACCTTTAGTGCATCAAACGGAAAAAGATAAGGTTGCACGCTCAAGAGCTTTTAGCACTACAGAGACATGACCTTTAACAAACCCTAACCTTTTGTTTTCCTCCTCTACTTTTTATTTAGTGGTTGAAATATTGTTTTCGTATTAGAGGGAAGTGGAGGTTTCACCTAACTCGTGGAAGAAATTTAATCCACATAATTCCCACCTCTTAATGACGTCATAAAGTGGACCGTACAGCAAAAAGGAGATGAGAATATGTGTATAGGAGGAGTGTATATACTTAGCAGATATGGGTGGGAAATAAAGCTTGCGCATGCATCAACGTTATGTGATGATTCGATGGCTCGTCTGAAAAAGAAGATTGAAGAAAAAGGAGAAAATCCTTGTGATGGTACTCGATGAAAAGAATTGGCGGTGCAAAAGATATGAATTCTCTCAAGTTGAGCAGAAATTCGAACACGGCTTACTCAGTCGATAGTCTAAATTTATAAATAAAGACAACCCTAATATAACGATGTGATAATTATATAAATGGTCCGTGAACTTTTAATTTATTCAATACGGTCAATAAATTTTTGGTAAATGGTTAATCCAGTCCCTGAATTATTATATCCTTGTATTCAATTTAATCCATGGACTAAATAATCTATGACCACATTACACATCGAGTTAAAGTTCAAGAACCACGTTGCATATAGGAGCAAAATTCAAAGAACCATTTGTGTGATTTTCCTATAACTATCTACTTAGGGTTCTCTAGCCGTCTTCCTCTTGCAAGATCATTGAGAACTGTGTGAACTATATCTTATCTTTTGACCAATTCTATATATATGAAGAAACAAAACACCCGTGAGCTCTTTTGGCGAAGACGATGGTGCTGCAAAACCTTTATGATTGTGAGATGAAGTTCATGCTGTATTGGAATGCGTAGCTTGTGTCGCATCTATTATCGTGTTGGGGTTCGATGAAGATGGCGTGGGATGCGTATGCTTGCTTTACTTGGACGGCAAAGAAGGAAGAGATTCGTGCACACAAAAGTAAAACAGAGTTTCCATCTACAAGACAGGAACTTGACCAGTGATATTCATGGAAGCAATGGTAGGAAAGGTAGGAAATGTGCGTAATCGACGGGTAATTAGTTTGAATT